TGATATTATTAATTTTTGTAAAGACACCAGTAGGGGACCGGCTTGCTATAAATAAACTCACGCCATATCTTTCTCTTTTTATTATTCACTAGGTGAAAGTCCGCACTACGCGCGGGTTGTGTTGAAATTGTATAATTTTTTAAATTTATCTTGATTGTCATGTACTCATATTATTGTCTTTCTTCAAACTATATACATGTTGGGTTTTTTTTTTTTTTTTTTTTTTTTTTTTTTTTGCAGTTATCCTTATAAATCGAATAAGTTTAAGAAGTTTTGGATGCTGTAAATAAATTGCGGGTGTCTAAAAATAGAGTTTGTAAAGTCAGAGTCTCATCCAATGCTATCAACATTCCTCCATGCACATTGTTTCATTTGAATGTGGGAGAAACTACTCAGAACAGATAAAGGAATTAAAGCTTTGTGAGATTCATGACCAAAAATATTAATAGCAGAACGACAATTCTATGGATTCTTAAAATTCTTTGTTTTTAAACATGTTCTACTTCTATGATATAAATTCTCTGAATTAAGTTTAGACATTGTGAAAGACTTTGTCTTAGAAACCTTTAATACTGCAGAAACTGTATTCATGTACGTTAATATAAGTTCATATTTATATGAAACTTGAAACATGTGGGAGAAGGACAGTAGACAAATATTACAGAAGCTAGAGAGGCAATCTTTTTTTATTTGTTTCTTAGAGTCTGTAGTTTCCCATCTTCCTCTCCAGTTTTGTTATGGTTCAACAGAAATTGATAAAGATAGATTTTAAGCTTGATAACCGAGGACAATGCTCATATTGTGATACTACAATGACTACACATGATTGAAGGCTTGTCAACTATGCCCCTAAAACTAAACGTTACGTATATACAAAATCAGAATATAACATTAGGAGGGATTTACAAATACCAACCATGAAAAATACTGGACATCGCAGTGATCACTTTCGGCTCCCATCACTTTCAGGTATTCTAGAGCATACAAAACCCCAGTTTATCATTTGTTAACATGGTAGTAAGATCATTTGCTATATATAGTTATATATACTTATGGGACTGGTTGACCCCAACCTCTAAAAGTAACGTCGCATCATGACTAATGATTCAAAAACATTGAGTTTACATTGAGCTACGAACTAAGCATGATATTTAAAAGAGATTCATATATTTGTGAAGTGGTTCATATTTCGTTCACACGTTTCTTGGTGGAGGTAATTGTCTTATTGATCAATGATTTATATGTGAGTGTATTAGACTTTGTTACAAATTATTTAGGTCAGACTTCATCATAATATGGCAAAGCCAATGGAAAAGTATGAGATGTTTTTTGTGTAGTCACCACTGTGGAATCACACTAATATGTATGCCGAGAAATGCATTTTCTTAGAATTTTATGCATTTGTATAATCCTACTCATTTAATAAAAATCATCTTTTCTTAGTGAGCTATTTTTTTTATATGACTCTCAATTTATAAAGGCAGAGAAACTGATTTTATTACAATTAACAATAGGTTATCACCAAATGCGATGTCAAAAAAGTTTATTAACAAATCCATGTTTCCCTTTAGCCCAAAAGTAAGAATAAAAAGCAGGGGGAAACACTTAATTTGTTTGGAGCAATCCTTAACCAAAAATGAAGAAGAATTGTTGTTAGTGACCTTTGGAATCATTGAATGACTCTCACAGTGTCCAGTCTGGGATGTAACCGTGTCTTGGCTTTTGGAGCTTATGTCGTTGCAGTAATTTGTTCCGAATATTTTCATACCTGTCATAATCATCACCGAAAACATGATTAACAACCTAAAAAGTCTTATATACAAAATACCAACAACAAAAACCCAAATAATCATCATCACTTTGGTGTTACTTTCGTGGAAAGTCATCCCATTTCTTGTAATATCAGTTTAGGAGGAGAAAGTAAGCGATGAAGGATTCAAGTTTAGTTCTCCTACCATGGAATTAATCCATGTTATTGATATGCTGAAACAAACAGCTCTAAAATTCTATCGAAAATATCCAATATGAATCACACGATGTGGAAGTGATTCCGTTAATTCGTGTTTTGTATGGTCATGTTGCTACTGCTGCCTGTAAATGGAGCTCTACCTTGAAACTTGGTTGCCACTTCTGCCTGAAAAGAGAACTATAATTTAACCGGGAAATGGATATTAGCAAACAAAATTACCATACAACTGCATAATTGGTCTTCATCTTTACCTGCAATTTTCTGTCATATCCCATCTTGGACAATAAAAGCAAGTGACAGTGAAGTACTACGATGACACAGAGAAGATATAACACCAATGATGAAGCAATCAAACAACAGAAGAAACGACAATGGCGGAGGAAAACCTTGTACAGAGCCCCGCCTAATGTACCATCTTCAACACTTTCGCTTGTTTGTTTTTTTCAATTCATCTAACGGTCTCTGACTTACAAATTCGATTGACCAAGAGAATAAAATAAAACCTTACAGAGCCATGGTTTGGATAGAGATGGAGAGACGATAGAAATAAAATGTTTCTCCGATACTAATAGGCTTAACTTTTACTTGAGCAATCTTCTTCCACTACACAACAACAATCATAGTTTTATTTGCCTCTAAATCTAGAGGGGGAAAAAAAAATTTGCGAGCAAACAGAGAATTCTTACTTGTTCTCGGGTATCCCCAAACGTGTGGATTTCTGTTCGTTTGCATGACCTTGACAAATCTGCCTCATCAACAAAACTAATAAAACGATAGATATGTCAGATTTGTGACAAATCTCACCTATAGGATACACTATATTTTTTGCAAAGATGAAAAGTTTAATCGTCGATCGGTTTGTGACAGAATTGAGTACTAAGCGCAGAGCTATACCACCAGAGACAATCTTTGGTCAGATAACAAAATTAGATGGACATGAAAAATCGCATCTACCAATTACAGCATTTCGACGCACACAACATTTTATAACAAAACATAATGACCCTTCTGAAAAGGGAATTCGTTTCTGGTGAACAATATAATTCTAAATTCTTGCTGAGACTGCAATACAACTTAGTTTAAACTTTAAACCTTTTTGTGTTCATTATAGATTGGCAGCCGAAATTTAAAACACAGATTCATTAGCAACAATCACTTACTCATCACCGAGTCCATTATTTGTGTAACCTGAAGGATCTTGGTGAGGCTGACGACGCCAACCGGCATGGAAATCGACCGCCTAACCGATAAGGGATGCATGTAGACATTCTATTGAGGTGACGGTCGAAACCACGGCGTTTTGACTGTGTTAGATTGAGTCACCGGAGCCCGATACCGCCACAAAGACGGTGCATTGGGATTGAGATGCAAAACATTTGATGATGATGAGATGGGTTGACTCTTCTTCGTACTTTCCCCCCCTCTCCGCAGTTCATAGTGAAGTCAAAATGAAAAAAAAAAAATCAGACGGCAACACATAAAGATTAACATATTATGCGTATGAGATAAGAAAATTCTGTTGCCAATAAAGAGAGATCATTTTACAAACAAAACAGAGAGGAAATCAATGACATTGGAGCATTTTCGCTTTTCTCTGAGCCTTTTTTAATTTATCTGAACAGAAAAACCCAAATGAAGATCGAAATACATGTGCAGTAGCAAACTGTGAACAGAAGAATCAGCATAATGTTAATCTAATCTTGCCATTTCCTATTTCCCAATTCAAACCTCACAATCACAAAATCAATTAAGGAGAAAGTGCATAAGGGAGAAAAAATGAAACAAAATTATTCTATCAATGACTGGAAAGTTTCTGATCAAGAAATAGCAAAGTTTATGCGAGAAGAGAGAAGCATACCACGGCGATGAGGATATGAAGTGTGGTAATCATAGGCTAAATCTTGAAATTTGAATTATTGGGCAATATATCCTTCTTGTGGCCTGTGTCCCTATTTTGTTAGCTCTCTTATCGTTTCTTCTTGAATTTGCCTTCAAATTTCTTCCGCCTGAGTGTTTCCACCACCAAATGCAAAAGATCATCAGAGAATACAGATCCATGAAACATAACATCAGACGCAATATGCACCAATTGCTGAGGATTATAACACAGAATAAGAAATTGAGTTCCCTGAAGTGAAAAACCGAAAAAGCTAACCAGTAGGAAGGAGAAGCTATTGGTTCAGGCATTAGCAAGATAATCACTCATGTCAAACGTCCCAATGTCCATGTGCCTGAAGACCTAACCACTAAGACGAAAAAGCAATTGAGTTATACTTGTTTCAACCACCACCATATTATCATTAACCATACAAACTACCTGGCATCTTAACAGGACGTAATCGGGAAAAAAAATTTGAGCCAAAAAAAGAAACATGCGATTTACTCAGGCAATGTATACAATAAATTGAGAGGCGTAAAAGTGGAAAAAGAAACAATTTCAAGTCTTCCTCTACTTCCAAAAAGAGCTCAGTAAGGCAAACAACGATAGAAAGATTAATTCTTACATTTAGGGAAGTTGTAGATTTCCTGGAGCCCGGCACCTCTGAGACATCAGGTTCCCGTGGTCAATGCAAAGCGAAATTTGCGAGAATCATCAAATCCTCAACTTTTGGAGAAGCATGAAGAAAGTAGAGAGAGCCTGTGAGAGTCGCTGTGATTACAGCTGCAAACGCCTGAGAAAATGGGACAAACGGAGGCAACACTCTGGTGTAGAGGTAACAAAGAACAATATATGAGATTCGTAATGTAGCTAAATGACCACAAGGGGAGATTTAATTTCATTTAAATTACCAGAGATGCCATGCCTCCCGAATATGTCATCATCTGTGTTCCTGTGAAGAACATATGAGACAGAGCACCGTGGAAGATTTCAGACAGTAATAGTAAGTCAGTTTAAGTGATGTAATGATTCTAATAATGTTTGGCTGAAGGCGATGATAATAAAAAAAAATATTGTCCGTACATCTTCACAATTAGAGAGCAGAAACAATAAGGTGGAAGAAGGTTGGAGTTTGACGGCTTACCAGTGGATTCAATATAGTTTGACTGCATCCTCATCATATCCTGTTTCCTCGGGCTCGTAGAGAAGACACTTCATCAGCCATTTATTCAACTCTCTTACGTAACCTTTCTGCGCGCTAACCCAGCTCGAGAACCCCAAGATCCAGTTTATAAGCTCGTGTCCAAGCAAACTCGTTGCCTCTAGATGTTCATCACCGAGTTTCTTTCTAGCCCTTATCGGACCTAACCCTTGAGCTTCCCTAATAGCGTGACACTGACTTCGATGACAATCGAGCATCGCTTTCCACATTCTTGTAAGCCTGACAAAGAAACTTAATTCAACAACATTTCCATTTGCAAACATGTAATAATTTACTCAGTGAAGCATTGTCATTAGTCATTACCCTTGAATCAATGCATTCAACTGCGGCCATAAGTCTTCGTCTCTAATACAATACTATTAAATCTACAAGCTAGCATAAAACTATAGAATCAAGCAGCGTAACAATTGACTGATAAATATAAAAACAGCAATTCTTTTTGGAGAATAAAAGACAAAAAAAATCAAGTGGAAGCAGCTCATATGACATATCCTTATGATTTGTACCGAATTTAAAAGAAGAATGCCTAATGGAATTATTCCCAAATCACGAGTTCTCTAAATATCACATTTCATCATTCTGATAGGTTGGGAGTTCCGTTGGCCTTTATGAAGAGGAAGAAGAGAGCCGGAGGAAGACGAGCTCGAGTTTGGGGAAAGAAAGGACCAAGTGGCTAAGTGAGGAGAAGAAGAGTGAAAGACTCTGAGTGAGAAAGAGTCTTCGTAGCTGGTCAGTTTATTAAATGTTGTCGTTTCATTTAAGAGATACTTTATGTTACTGTATTTAAAGGACCTTAGTTTTGAGGGTTTCCTGATGCTTATGAACAGTAATCAATCAATAATAAATCTCTTCTTCCTTTATCCGCCTCTTATATCCTTTTCTTATTCTAAGATCTATTTCTCATCTTATTCTTACAAACGATAAGCCCAAGCTTATCAGTGTTGCTTTTTCATTGAGAGAGTCACATCGAGATGGCTCAATCACCGTCCCATCAGAACTCGAGAATCTGATTGTGCCAGACACGCCGCAGCCGCCCTTGACGATGGAGCAGCGCGTTGCACAAACGGAGAAGGATATGTTGTGGATCAAAACGGCGCTGACGACCCTCCTACGCGCACCGGGTTACTCGGGACCAGGAGACAGTACAAACATCGGGTTCTCAAGCCCGGTTTCCGTCGCACAACAGTCCGCTCCGTCAACACCAGTCCAAAACACAGGAAACGGGATCCTTCCAACACCACCGGTCGCGACACAGCTTAAAGCTGCCATCTTTATTCCGTTGGAGCCCGCAAAGGTCCAAAGTCAAGACCTTTCGGAACCCACACCTACGATTCAGAGCAAAAAGGTAGATCTGCCCTTGTATGAAGGAAGTAACCCAGACGATTGGTTGTTTAGGATGGAAAAATGTTTTGGGATGAACAACGTACCTGAGTCAGAGAAGCTGGAGCAAGCTCTCACGTGTCTCACAGGTGCGGCGGTTACTTGGTGGAGGTTTTCGCAGGAAAGGGAACATATTAGTACCTGGAAGGACTTCAGAGACAAGTTTAAAGTGCGGTTCAAACCCAGCAGAGGTAGCGCCTCAGTGGATCGATTTCTGAGTATGACTCAAAAGGGGAGTGTGGATGAGTACAGAGATAAGTTTGAGGAACTCTCAGTGGAGCTTCCTCACGTTCCGGATGATGTACTTGAGTCGGCGTTCCTCAAGGGGTTGAAGAAGAGCTTACGAGATCAGGTGATGAGATGCAGACCTGTAGGAATGGCAGATATTGTGGATGTGGCGAGACTGATAGAGTCACAGGAAGGAGACGGTTCAAGCTATTATAGAAGATCGATTCCAAAAACTGTGGCTGCTCCTGGGGCGAATTTCTCCAATCGCAACGTGAGCAGTAGCAGTAACTGGAGGAGCGGAGATGGTGGTACAAATAAGAACTCGACGAGGTTTCAAGGAGGAGGAAAACCCAAGCTTTGTAACTATAACTGTGGTGAAAATTGGGTGCCTGGTCATCGCTGTAAACAGAGGTTTAAAGCCATGGAGGTAGAAGAGATACTGGGAAAGGATGAAGAGGAGATAGATGGTCAGCAGGAGGCTGAGGCAGACATGGAAACGGAAGAGGAGCCCCAAGAGTTGGTAACCCTGTCATTACAATCGATGGCAGGGCTTACTACGGAGAGGTCGATGAAAATGAAGGCAAGGATTGGAGAGAAGGATGTCGTGGTATTTGATTGATTCTGGGGCCACTAGTAACTTTATCTCAGAGCAGGCGGCGAAAAGGATAGGGCTATCACTCACGAGTAATAAGGGGTTTGGAGTACTTGTGGGTGGAGGCAAAATCGTGCCCGGTCATGGAAGGTTCACAGGGGTCAGACTAGATATCCAAGGAGTGGAGATTACTGAGGAGTTCTTGATGTTTGAGTTAGGAACTACAACGGATGTGGTGCTGGGGTATACGTGGTTGGCATCTCTAGGAGATACACGGGCTAATTGGGCTCGGAGGATGTTGAGCTGGAAGATTGAGGACCATTGGGTGACCATTAAGGGAGATCCGGAGTTGAGCAAAGAACCGATTTCTCTACGGTCAATGGAAAAGGTTATTGACATGGAAGGTGGGGGATATTTGCTGGAATTGACCACACTTTTTGAAGGAGAGAAGTCTGATAATAAGGGTGAGTACCATGAGAAGGTTAATCCGATATTAGATGAGTATCAATCAGTGTTTGAGATGCCAAACGAGCTTCCTCCCGAGAGAAGTCGTTCTCACGCTATCACGCTTCAATCAGGAACAGCTCCGGTGAACAGTAGGCCTTACCGGTACTCATTCATTCAGAAAAACGAGATAGAGAAGCTGGTTCAGGAGATGATGGCAGCCAGGATCATAAGACCAAGTGTCAGCCCGTACTCGAGCCCGATTCTCCTGGTGAAGAAGAAGGATGGAGGATGGCGGTTCTGTGTCGATTACAGGGCCCTGAACAAGGTAACTATTCCGGACCGGTACCCGATTCCGATCATAGAAGAACTCTTAGATGAACTAAATGGAGCAAAGGTGTTCTCCAAGCTGGATCTTAAGTCGGGTTACCACCAGATCAGGGTGAAGAGCAGTGACGTTGAGAAAACTGCGTTCAAGACACACCAGGGACATTACGAGTTTCTAGTGATGCCGTTTGGGCTCACGAATGCGCCTTCTACTTTCCAGAGCGTGATGAATGAGCTGTTCAGACCACATCTTAGACGCTTCGTGCTGGTATTCTTCGACGACATTCTAATCTACAGCCGAGATGTCGAATCCCATCAGCGTCACCTACAGATAGTTTTGGATTTGATGAGACAGCATAAGTTTTACGCCAACCTCAAGAAGTGTTCATTTGGGGAGAGTGAGGTGTCGTACTTGGGGCATCGAATTTCAGCAGAGGGTGTAGCGGCTGATCCTGAGAAGATAGAAGCTATGGTTAAGTGGCCTGAGCCTAAGTCAGTGACGGAGTTGAGAGGTTTTTTGGGTCTCACGGGCTACTATTGCAGGTTTGTCAAAAACTATGGATTGATCGCTCGACCTTTGACGGTACTGCTGAAGAAGAACGGGTTCACCTGGTCGGAGGAGGCCACTAAGGCGTTTAAAGCGTTAAAGACGGCAGTCACCACGTTACCGGTGTTGATATTGCCAGACTTCTCCAAGGAGTTTACTATAGAGACGGATGCTTCAGGAGCAGGAATTGGGGCTGTCCTGTCTCAAGAAAGGAGACCAATTGCATTCATCAGTCAAGCCTTCTCAACAACGGGTAGGGTCAAGTCAGTTTACGAGAGAGAGTTACTGGCGATAGTAAAGGCAGTGATGAAATGGAAGCACTACTTGGGAAGCAGAGAATTCGTAATTAAAACTGATCAGTGCAGTCTGCGTCATCTGTTGGATCAAAAGGCTGTATCATCGGTTCAGCAGAGGTGGGCCGCTAAACTCATAGAGTTGAACTACAGGATAGAATACAAACCTGGAGTAGAGAACCGAGTAGCGGATGCGTTATCCCGGAGAAGCCATCAAGAAGAGTTGCAGCTGATGTTAACGGCACCATTGTCATTGGACAAGGAGGAGTTAAAAGACGAGATAAGGAGAGATGTGGAGTATGGTCCAATAGTGAGCAGATTGGAAAAAGGAGAAGTAGTAGACAATGGGTTCTCGCTGGAGAAGGGAAATCTGTATAAGCAGGGTTGTCTAGTGATTTCAAAAGGGTCAAGGTTTATACAGGCATTGTTGGCACAGTTCCATGACAGTGCAGTTGGGGGCCACAAAGGAGCACTAAAAATTTACAAAAGAATGACGCTGGAAGTATTCTGGGTTGGAATGAGGAAGGCAGTAGTAGATTACATCCGCAAGTGCCAAGTGTGTCAGGAAAACAAGTACGCCACACTCTCACCGGCAGGACTCTTAGCTCCACTACCGATTCCGACGAAGATATGGAGTGACATTAGTCTTGACTTCGTGGAAGGACTTCCAACCTCTCGCGGGTTTAGTGTCATCCTCGTGGTGGTGGACCGTTTAAGCAAGTATGGACACTTTATTCCACTGAAGCATCCTTTCACGGCAAAGACGGTAGCGGAGGCGTTTGTCAGGGAAGTGATTAAACTTCATGGGTTTCCGGAGACACTGGTTTCAGATAGGGACAAGGTTTTTCTGAGTAGCTTTTGGTCGGAGTTGTTCAAGCTACACGGATCCCTCTTGCACAAAAGCACTGCCTACCATCCACAGACGGATGGACAAACGGAGGTAGTCAACAGATGTTTGGAGACATACTTAAGGTGTTTTGCAGGGAGAAAACCAACCTCTTGGATACAGTGGTTGCCTTGGGCCGAGTATTGGTACAATACGTCTTTCCACTCGTCGACAAAGACCACACCCTTCATGGCTGTTTACGGAAGAGAACCGCCTAAGTTGCTGCGTTATGGAGACACACCGACTCCAAACGCCTCTGTCGAGGAGTTGCTTAGAGACAGAGATAGTTTACTGGTGGAGCTGAGAGAGAATTTGGAAGTGGCGCAGAAACAGATGCAGAGGAGTGCGAATCTACATCGCCGAGATGTTGAGTATAAGGAAGGTGATTGGATGTATCTTAAGTTGCGTCCGTATCGGCAAGGCTCACTCGCTAAGAGGAGGAACGAGAAGCTAGCGAAGAGGTACTTTGGCCCTTACCAAGTGAGTCAACGCATTGGGAAGATGGCGTACAAACTGCAGTTACCAGCGCAGAGCCAAATCCATCCAGTGTTCCATGTTTCTCAACTGAAGCTTGCGATTCCTTCGGGTGAACAGGCACAAGAGATTCCGCCAATCTTGAATGCCGAGTTGGAATGGGCTACAGAACCTGAAGACTTGTTGGATGTCCGCCGTGCAGAGAACGGTTTAGCAACGGAGGTGAAAGTCAAGTGGAAGGGACTTCCGGAGTTTGAATCCACATGGGAGACTTTGACGGATGTGGCTTCACAATTTCCAGAGTTCAACCTTGCGGACAAGTTTGGTTCATTTGGGGGGAGTATTGATAGGTTGGGAGTTCCGTTGGCCTTTATGAAGAGGAAGAAGAGAGCCGGAGGAAGACGAGCTCGAGTTTGGGGAAAGAAAGGACCAAGTGGCTAAGTGAGGAGAAGAAGAGTGAAAGACTCTGAGTGAGAAAGAGTCTTCGTAGCTGGTCGGTTTATTAAATGTTGTCGTTTCATTTAAGAGATACTTTATGTTACTGTATTTAAAGGACCTTAGTTTTGAGGGTTTCCTGATGCTTATGAACAGTAATCAATCAATAATAAATCTCTTCTTCCTTTATCCGCCTCTTATATCCTTTTCTTATTCTAAGATCTATTTCTCATCTTATTCTTACAAACGATAAGCCCAAGCTTATCACATTCTTCTCGAAATCAGTTGAAGAAAGCTGAGAATTTTACTAAGCAGCGATGATTTGATAACTTACCATGTTTGCGACCATAAGGTTGCTTCCCGTCTTCAAGTAGCTTGGCGATCTCACTTCCTGACTCTGCAGCTTTCACAAATTGATTCTCAATCTCCTTCGCAACCTCATGCACCGGACGTGGCCCTCCTCCGGCTCCACGTGTCAACGTGGTATTGCTCTGTCTTTCCTCGTCTTCGACGACCTTCTTCTCAACGACGTGGACATCGTACTTCATCCCTTCATCTGTGGGAGACCATAGTTGCGCCGATAAACAGAGACGGGATCTGCTAAACAGCTTGGTCCCAATTCGGAAAAGATACGAAAGTCACTCCTCTTCATGTGAGTAATTGAGATCGATGAGGAAGAGAATTTGAGTTTCGGAGATGAGCGCAGATTTCGCGGACGGAAGGAAAGGGAAAGAGAGGAGGAAGAAGAAGAAGAGGAAGAGACGGAGCTCGATGTTTTTGGTCGGTGTACGCAACGGTGTCGTTTTGAAAGAGAATTAAGCGAAAAAAAAAAAGGTTCAGAAAACGCAGAAAGTGACACGTGTCTATCTCTCTCGTGCTGACGTGGCGGTCAGGTGGAGAGAGATGTGCAACTTTTATAGTATAGGATCTATAAATATCGTGCATAGGAAAAGAAAACGCGATATTTTCTACACGATGCCATAAAAAGTTAACACTGATTTCAATCTGTGGTATATTTGAAGACACGTATTTTCGACAAAATAAACAATACATGTAAGAAAACACCACTTCGTTTCTGCAAATAATGAAAATATTTATAATTGACCTCACAGATCGTTTTAATCAAAAGGGGATTTACCTTGGGAAAACAAAGACTGAAATCTTCATCTTTAATCACACTCTTGACAATTTTCATCGATCCTCTTTTATCAAATGAAGAAAACGAGTGCAAACTGAATAATAAATGTTATACTATACCCATAACAAAAAAAACTAAAATAATCTTAAACTTCTGTACAAGTGTCTGAGTCCACACACACTGATACCGACACTTGTTTGATTCTTCGTCACACAGTGGGTAGGTATCTCTATTTATTTCCACGAACAATGGAGCCCAAAGACAGAGAGAGAGAGAGCAATGGCTCAGATTTTGTCTCTCATCATCACCATTTTTCTGGCTCTAGCTTCTCTGGGAGATGCAGCAACGTTTACAGCAGGAAAGATTTCCCCGAGGGCTTTGCTTTCGGTGCCGGCGCTTCTGCTTATCAGGTTTTGACCAGCTATTCATTTTTTCCAACTTCTATGGTTTCTTCTTCCAAACCCACTTCCCATTTTTAATTATTTTTCCATTATGATATGTGTTGGTTTCTGGAAGTGGGAAGGAGCTGTTAATGAAGACGGGAGAAAGCCAAGCGTTTGGGACACTCTCGTTCACTCTCGTAAGTTTCTATATTTAGACTTTCTAACATCAGTTTGGAGATTGTATTATTACGATTTTTAGTCAAATTCATTCTCCAAACAGAAATAAAAAGTGTCTTACATTGATAGGTAACATAAGTAATGGAGACATCACTTGTGATGGGTATCACAAGTACAAGGTTTATTTTCTCTTTCTATGAATATTTAATGCATTCACCTAATTCGCCGCTTTTATACATGAAGGACTTTTTGTTGCGACTGTGTAGGAAGATGTGCAATTAATGGTGGAAACTGGCTTAAACGCATTCAGATTCTCCATCTCTTGGTCTAGGCTTATACCAAGTAAGTATTTCTTTTAAAAGCCCATCCTAATGATTTTGACTTTGAAGAGAATGAAGTTTTAATTCTTGATGTTGTGATTTAGATGGAAGAGGTCATGTTAACCCAAAGGGTCTACAGTTCTACAAGAACTTCATCCAACAACTTGTAAATCATGGTGAGACAAAATCTTTGGAAAACTCTTGTAAACCATTTTATTTTTCCCTCTTCTTTTGGTAAACTTAATTATTACAGGGATTGAGCCACATGTTACACTCTACCACGACGATCATCCTCAGTCTATCGAGGATGAATATGGAGGATGGCTCAACCGCAGAATGATGTGGGCTTTAATTTAGTTTCTCTTTTTTTTTTTTTTTTACATATTTATAGAAAAAACAGAAAAAGAAGTTGATGCTATTTGCCATTGCAGCAAAGACTTTACTGCTTACGCAGATGTTTGCTTCAGAGAGTTTGGGAGCAATGTCAAATTTTGGACAACGATCAACGAAGCTAACATATTCTCCGTTGGAGGTTACAGTAATGGGTTGACACCGCCTGGTCGTTGCTCCCCACCAGGCTGCTCGTCAGGGAACTCTTCAACAGAACCATATATCGTAGGCCATAACTTGCTTCTTGCGCACGCCACTGTTTCAAGACTATATAAGCAAAAGTACAAGGTATGCAACATTACTTGCTTATGTATCTATTTTACATATGTAACCACCATCTCTTGAAAAAGTGTGTGCTGATGTGATGTGATGATAAAGGAGCAACATATGTGCAGGATATACAGGGAGGTTCTGTAGGAATTAGCGTATATACATTAGCGTTTAAGCCTTCTACAAGCTCCAAGGATGATGAACTCGCTCTACAAAGAGCCAAAGCTTTCTACTTTGGCTGGTGAGTCAGCTACAAACGGTTCCACAAGTCTTTTTCGAATGAAGCAAACGTGTTACTTAAGCTGAAAAGAAAAACAAAAATACAGGATTCTTGGGCCTCTTACATTCGGAGACTATCCCGATGAAATGAAAACAGCCGTTGGATCAAGACTGCCAGTTTTCTCAGAGGAAGAGTCAGAGCAAGTTAAAGGCTCATCTGACTTCATAGGAATCATGCAGTATATTGCGGCTACTGTCACAAACATGAAATCCAAACCTTCTCGTCCTGATTTCGACTCAGACATTGGCGCTTCTATAACTTGTAGGAATCAGACTCGATCTTTAACACAAAACAGTTTTTTTTGCTCCCTTGCTTCAGTATATTATATATATTTTTTGGCTAATCATATTGTCTTGGTATTACTGTTTCGGAGGACAGACTTTGGGAATTTTTCAGGTTACATGGTAAGAGTTCCAGAGGCTTCTTGTTAGGTCTTTTTCCAACACTCCAAGTGTTCTTAATCCATTTTTCTTAGTTTTTTTTTTTGGATTTTGTTTTTGTTTGTTTGGAAAAGTATCCTGTTGTTCCATGGGCTATGGAAGCTGTCCTGGATCATATAAAGGAGAGTTATGGCAACCCTCCTCTCTACATTCTTGAGAATGGTCTCTCTCTCTCTCTCTCTCTCTCTCTCTCTCTCTCTCTCTCTCTCTCTCTCTCTCTCTGTTTTTGTCTAAGTCTTCTCAATTATATTGCCAATTGAAATGTATAGGTACACCGATGAAGCAAGATTTGCAGGATACACCAAGGATTGAGTACTTACAAGCTTACATTGGTGCTGTGCTCAAATCCATTAGGTAAGTGAAGTCTTTTTTCTTATTGCATATCCTCTTGTCTTGTCAATGTAATAAAGAAGAAAACTATACCTGTAGGAACGGATCAAACACGAGAGGCTACTTCGTATGGTCTTTTATGGATGTATTCGAACTACTGACTGGATACGACTATAGTTTTGGATTGTACTATGTGAATTTCAGCGATCCTCATCGCAAGAGGTCTCCAAAACTCTCTGCTCAGTGGTACTCTGCTTTTCTCAAGGGAAACACCACCTATCTTGGTTCCCAAGGCATCGCTCAATTGCAGAGCAACTTCTCTTCTTCCTCCTAATAATGTTGCATTTGATATATTGTGATGATTCATTTTTGGTTATAAGTTTTTCCTCCGTTCTTTAAGAAGTGGTGTTTAAAGAGACTTTTTTTTTTGTTTATAAATAAGTGGTGTTTACACATCATAATGTTGTTTTGATTATTTGAATTCTGCTTGTTGAAATTTTAGTGGTTAATTTTCTGTCATAAACATATACAAATAAATACAGTTATATGTTACTTAACGATGTTCGATTAATGTCTTTGTTGAAGGGTCTTTCGTTTGCATTATTATTATAAATAAATCTTATGTTCGGTCAAGTTATATGATTTTATAAGACTTGCACTAGAAAGTGTGCATTAATTAACTTCGTAAAATCCTCAGGTTTGTATGCTTCTTCCTAAATATCTCTAATGCATATCTCTTCAATAGAATCTGCCAACCAACGAGCGCTAAACAATTGCTCCACAGCTGAGCTCGATGAAATGTCTATGTTTAAGCGTTCAAGTCGTTCCAAGCGTTGGAGCTCCTCTACTGAACTAACATCAAGCCAAGAGTTAGAACTTCGTAGTCTCAATACTTCTGCTACATCTGCTATCCCACTAATACTCTCTTAAGCTCTCAGTGAATTCCAAATTTAGATATTTTAGACGTTTCAACCTTACTAGTAGGCCTGAGCATTCGATTATTCGGGTCGGGTCTTTTAGGTTATGGGTCTTACGAGTGTAGAAGGTTTGTATCCATATAGGAACTGTGTGATAATCGGTTCGGGTTCAAATCGGTTCTACTCAGTTTCGGGTCGGTATCCAAACTTTAGCTATAAAAAATAGAATAAAAATAAAAATAATTTAATTTAAATAAAATTTGCAAAACATATTAAATATAACTAAAGATTTTCTGCTATGTTAGATCTTTTGTTTATTTTCTGCTAAATATAACTAATAATATTTGGTTTATAATTATAATTTTAAATATTCTGGTTATTTTAAGACTAAATATAATTAATATTTTTAAGTATATAATTATATTTTAGATATTCCAGATACCCATTCGGTTCTCGATTTGGTTGTAGTTCGGTTACGGTTCTTTTGGGTCTAGAGATTTAGGATCCATTCGGGTATTTGTGTAGGTTCCGGTTTGGTTCGGGTCCTTTTATTTTGGATCGGGTTTGATTCGGATCTTCGGGTCCAGGTTTTATGCCCATGCCTACTTCCTAGACCTTCAGGCAATCGCTTGATATTTGTCTGTGACAAGTTGAGAGTAACGATGCGACTTGAGAAGAAACAGAAAAACAGAACAATATTTTGGATCATGGATCTACTCATTGCAGCTTACAAGAAGGTAAGAAACGGTGTGGTCTGGCTTCGTTCTCCCATTCAAAAATCCCTTTTATCCATTCTTCCCCACTGTATCGTATGAAAAAAAAAAATCATCTTTAACGTTAAAGATGCTTTTAAAAAAAAACTATTTATCATCATTTCATTTTTTGTATGAATTTTGTTTGAATATTTGAGGAGTTTTTCTTTCTCATCTTACTATCTTTTGTCAATCCAATGAGAAAAAAACTGGAAATATAATAGCAATTACAGTCCAAAATTAATGAGTTTCACACCGAACAAACAATAAATTTACACAGAACAATATGACTGTAATTGAGTGGATATGTGGATCATTCGGGAGATTGGAGAGAAATATGGTCTTTCATACCAGGAAAATCTGCAGTAGAAGAAGCAAGAGTTTCGATTGCTTCATCCCATTCGTGTACCTCCCTCTTGCTCGTCATATTTTGGCCAATGGTATTCAGCACCAATGGTAAACCACAACATTTTTTAGCAACTTGACATGCGCGCTCAAGAAAAACGTTTTTTAACAGAATCTAACAAACGTTTTCAACTTATCTTCATTGTGTTCAACTGTTCATCTTGACACAACTAATACCAGTCGTAGCTGAGATCGTTCAAAACCCTTGAATACTTCAGTTAATATTTTTACTATTTTAATACATTTGTTTGAAATAAATATTGGCAAAGAATCTTGACATTGGTCTTTAGAGCATCTCCAACCCCATGCTAAATATGACATATATGCTATTTTGCCATAATTTTTGCTCCAACCCAATTGCATATGCTATTGCAAAATAGCATCATGCTATTTTTGCTTCTATATTTGGCATGAGATTATGCAATATGCTATTTTGCCATTGAACTTTTTTATTTATAAAATAGTCCTTCAATTTGTAATTACTTTTAATTTAACAGTTTAATTATATTGATTATGATTTATTTAAATAAATAAACAATACTCATAACTTTTTCAAAATATAAATAATATTTATTTCATAGAAATATAAAAACATAACCATAATAAACTTAAAATTTTATTTTTAAAAATACTGAAATTCAAAAAACATAAAACAATAGGTTAAAATCTTTGTTTTCTATAATTTTTATGTAATATGATGTATTTTGTTTTAATATTATAATAAAAAAAAATATATATAATTCTGGTTGTTTTTGCAAAAAAAGAAAAACAAATGATTCACTTTGTAAAATTTGAAGAAATCAAGTAGTTTTAACAATTAATAATAAGTTGGAAAAAAATTATAGCATGATATATGGCATGAGGGGTTGGAGAGAAACCCAATGCTATTGCTATATTTTTGCCATTTGCAATAACATATGGCATGAGGGGTTGGAGATGGTAATATGGGCCAAACAGAGCGTTGTTCGTTGTAATTAATCTTCACTTTTCAATAAAAAGAAAAATGGGAACTTCTCTCTTTAATTCATCTTTTTTTTAATAGAATAAATTCGACGTACATTATACATCTCTAAGAGCATCTCCAACCCACCCTTATTTTTCCCCTTAAACACTATTTTAGTGTAAAAATCATCTAACCCACCCTCATTTTTCCCATCAAAATAAGGGAACACTATTTTTTCCCTTCAAATATAGTGTAACTTTTTTTCTCTCTTATTTTTGATGTTGATGTTTTTTATTTGTATAATGGTCCTTTAAATTTAACCTTTTCTTATTTTGAATTTAAAAAAATTATAAAAAAATTATATTTTATTTCTTTTTTCACCATAATTAATCATAAAACATTATATTAAAGAAATAAGATGATTTATATTATAAAAAATGATTAAATTTCTATTTTATTTATTACAAATTAAATAATAGAAAATAATTGGGGCTAATTTGTAAAACTTATAAATAAAAAGTTTTTATAATAAATGTTGATTTAGAATATACCATATAATATTCTTTATTAGTGTAAAAAATAAGGGAATACATTGGAAATAAACTTCACACTATTATAAGAAAACACTATAATGAGGGAAAAAATAAGGGAATACATTGGAGATGATCTTAAGCTTCATCACAAAAAAAAATTTGGCACCTGATGTCACGTCAGTTTAAATAAGGGCAATAATTCTAGTGGTGTGTGACTTGTTGTATGTCCTTTGATCAATATATATAGTCCTACAATATCAACGTAATATAAGAAGTGGGTGTATGTACACGATAGATAGTCCAACAAATAGACAAGGATGTCAAATTTAAACCAATTAGTGTTTTTAAGACAAAAGAAAAACAACATATCCATCTACATTTTTAGTGTAAAGCCAGCGTTTAATCTTATTAATTACATGAATTTAGAATTAATATCCCCGATATAAATAAATTTTGGTTTATCAACCCCAATTATTAAAAAGTTTATGTGAGAGGTACGAGTCTTCGATCGATAAGGGGGGTCCGAGCAATAATTCTAGTGGTCCGAGCAATAAACGAACAGTGGAGCCAAAGACAGAGAGAGCAATGGCTCAAATTTTGTCATTACCACTGGTAAGTGAGAGTTTCTCTTCATCACCACCGGTAAGTGTACCTAACATACATTGACCCACTGGAAATTGAATTTAGAGAGGATTCAGAGTCACTATTTTATGCTCTATCTCTTGTGAACTAGCCGATATTTTCTACACGATGCCATAAGAAAATAACACTGATTTCAGTATGTGGTATTTTTGAATAAACAATACATGTAAGAAAACATCACTTCGTCATTTTTTCAAATAATGAGAATATTAATAATTAACCCTATATATTAAAAGGGGATTTACCTTGGGAAAACAAAGACTGAAATCTTCCATCTTTAATCACACTCTTGACATTTTTTTTTTAATTTGTTAAATATCACTCTTGACAATTTTCATCGATCCTCTTTTATAATAAATGTTATACCTAAAACAAAAATAAAATAATTTCAAACTTCTGTACAAGTGTGAGTCCACAGTCCAGACACACACTGATACTGACACTTGTTTGATTCTTCGTCACACAGTGGGTAGGTAGTGAGACTGTGAGAGAGTCTCTATTTATTTCCACGAACAATGGAGCCAAAGACAGAGAGAGAGTAATGGCTCAGATTTTATCTCTCCTCGTTACCATTTTTCTGGCTCTAGCTTCTTCTGGGAGATGCAGCAACGTTTACAGCAGGAAAGATTTCCCCGAGGGCTTTGCTTTCGGTGCCGGCGCTTCTGCTTATCAGGTTTTGACCAGCTATTCATTTTTTCAACTTCTTCCAAACCCACTTCCCATTTTCCTGTTTTGAATTTTTTTTTTTCCATTATGATCTGTGTTGGTTTCTGGAAGTGGGAAGGAGCTGTTAATGAAGACGGGAGAAAGCCAAGCGTTTGGGACACTCTCGTTCACTCTCGTAAGTTTCTATATTTAGACATTCTAACATCAGTTTGGATTGTTACTATTTTTAGTCAAATTCATTCTCCAAACAGAAATAAAAAGTGTCTTACATTGATAGGTAACACAAGTAATGGAGACATCACTTGTGATGGGTATCACAAGTACAAGGTTTATTTTCTCTTTCTATGAATATTTATTTCATTCACCTAATTCGCCACTTTTATACATGAAGGACTTTTTTGTTGTGACTGTGCAGGAAGATGTGCAACTAATGGTGGAAACTGGCTTAAACGCATACAGATTCTCCATCTCTTGGTCTAGGCTTATACCAAGTAAGTCTTTCGTTTAAAAGCGCATTCCAATGACTTTGAAGAGAATAAAGTTTTAATTCTTTGATCTCATAATTTAGATGGAAGAGGTCATGTTAACCCAAAGGGTCTACAGTTCTACAAGAACTTCATCCAACAACTTGTAAATCATGGTGAGACAAAATCTTTGGAAACTCTTGTAAACCATTTTATTTTTCCCTCTTCTTTTGGTAAACTTAATTATTACAGGGATTGAGCCACATGTTACACTCTACCACGACGATCATCCTCAGTCTATCGAGGATGAATATGGAGGATGGCTCAACCGCAGAATGATGTGGGCTTTAATTTAGTTTCTCTTTTTTTTTTTTTTTTTTTTTTACATATTTATAGAAAAAACAGAAAAAGAAGTTGATGCTATTTGCCATTGCAGCAAAGACTTTACTGCTTACGCAGATGTTTGCTTCAGAGAGTTTGGGAGCAATGTCAAATTTTGGACAACGATCAACGAAGCTAACATATACTCCATTGGAGGTTACGGTAATGGGTTTACACCGCCTGGTCGTTGCTCCCCACCAGGCTGCTCATCAGGGAACTCTTCGACAGAACCATACATCGTAGGCCATAACTTGCTTCTTGCGCACGCCTCTGTTTCAAGACTCTACAAACGAAAGTACAAGGTATACAAAATTACTTGCTTATATGTATATTTTACATATGTAATGAAAAAGTGTGTTTTGATGTGATGACAAAGGAGCAACATATGTGCAGGATATACAGGGAGGTTCCGTAGGAATTAGCATATTTTTGTTAGGGTTTAAGCCTTCTACAAGCTCCAAGGATGATGAACTCGCTCTACAAAGAGCCAAAGCTTTCTACTTTGGCTGGTGAGTCAGCTACAAACGGTTCCACAAGTCTTTTTCGAATGAAGCAAACGTGTTACTTAAGCTGAAAAAAAAAACAAAAATACAGGATTCTTGGACCTCTTACATTCGGAGACTATCCCGATGAAATGAAAACAGCCGTTGGATTAAGACTGCCAGTTTTCTCAGAGGAAGAGTCAGAGCAAGTTAAAGGCTCATCTGACTTCATAGGAATCATGCAGTATCTCGCGGCGACTGTTGCAAACATGAAATCCAAACCTTCTCATCCTGATTTCGACTCAGACATGGGCGCTTTTGTAAATTGTAGGAATCAGACACGATCTTTAGCACAAAACAAATTCTTTTGCTCTCTTATTATTATTATTTTTTTTTGTGGCTAATCATCTTGTCTTGGTTTTACTGCCTCGGAGGACAGTAATTGGGAATTATTCAGCTTTCAATGTAAGAGTTTCAGAGTCTTATTTGGTCTTTTTCCAACACTCCAAGTGTTCCCAATCCATCTTTCTTAGTTTTTTTTTTTGGATTTTTTTTATTTGTTAGGAAAAGTATGCTGTTGTTCCATGGGCTATGGAAGCTGTCCTGGATCATATAAAGCAGAGTTATGGCAACCCTCCTCTCTACATTCTTGAGAATGGTCTCTCTCTCTCTCTCTCTCTCTCTCTTGTTTTTGTCTTAGTCTGCTCAATTATATTGCCAATTGAAACGTATAGGTACACCGATGAAGCCAAGATTTGCAAGACACACCAAGGATCGAGTACTTACAAGCTTACATTGGCGCTGTGCTCAAATCCATTAGGTGAGTGAAGTCTTTGTCTTATTGCATATTCTCTTCTCTTGTCAATGTAATAAAGAAGACAACATTAATTACTATACCTGTAGGAACGGATCAAACACGAGAGGCTACTTCGTATGGTCTTTTATGGATCTCTTCGAACTACTGACCGGATACGACTATAGTTATGGATTGTACTCTGTGAATTTCAGCGATCCTCATCGTAAGAGGTCTCCAAAACTCTCTGCTCATTGGTACTCTGCTTTTCTCAAGGGCAACACCATCTTTCTTGGTTCCCAAGACATCGCCCAATTGCAGAGCGACTTCTCTTCTTCCTCCTAGTAATGTTGCATTTGATATATTGTGATGGTTCCTTTTTGGTTATAAGGTTTTCCCTTTCTTTAATAAGCGGTGTTTACACATCTTAATGCAAAAGTTGATTTGTATTTTGTTGTTTTAATTAATTGTCTGACTTCTCCAAATTTGAATTACCTTGTGATTGATGATAAAACATGTTTTCTTTTGAAAAAAAAAAAATATCTTAATCTTTGTGCAAACACCTAAAACACCATTTATTCAAGAAAATAAAATAAAATAACAACCGCATAATGAAGCATGAACATTTGAAACAAGCATAGACTGATCATTCCACTGCGTACTCAAATCTCACAAATTTGGACACCTCTTCAATCATATTGAAAAAAGCCACAAATGTTTGCGAGCTACACGACATTAAGTAGTGGTGGGGATTGGCGAAATATATAGTGTCACAATCACTTCATATGAATATAATAAAGTCGTGAACATACTTAAAAAAAAAAAGAAAGATTAGTATCACTAAAACATGTGTCGGGGGGTCTATGAGCTAAAATTTTTGGCATAGTTTCGCCTTTTGATAAGTTAAAAATTTCGATGCCGGGAACGTTGTGGGCCAAAGGCCTGATTCAAAGCCCAGTAGAGAAATTGTGAATCAAGTCGAGCGAAAACGACGTCGCTTGCTCTAATTCTTGGAAGGCTATTACGCCGCCGTTTGAGCGAGTCTCTTTTCGACTATAACCGGTGGATAACGCAGCGAAGGCCGCCAATACAAGACGATATGATTCTGATAGACTCACCGCCGGCGACATTTACCGGTCACCGCCTCCATATTCCGCATACGAAATCCCTGCAAATCCGCCGCAATTTTCTCCGGACCAGCGAAATCTCAGCAGTCGATCGTCGCAATCGATGGCAGACACTGGATTGCTCCCAGATTCGAACACGAGACGACCCCTTCAAATGCGGGGCTCGCCGGAAAGCGGAGACAGCGATGGTCGAGGTTGGAGATGATCGTCTCCGGAGAATCGCTCGGTATCTTCTGTGGACAACCGAAGCTGTGTACATTCTATGGCTCTTTCTTCTCCCTTATGCTCCTGTGCGTGGAATTCCCTCAAAAACTCAATTTCGTTTAGTGTTTAAAATCAATACTCATTACTTCTCTTTTGATCAACAGGGAGATCCAGTTTGGGCTATTAGTTCAGAGACTGTGAATTCTCTTTTGGGACTTTCTCTGAATTTCTTCTTCGTCTTGCCTCTTACAAACTCCGGTACGATTCAGCTTTGAGATTCTACGTTTCTCTGATGATTATTTTGATCTCCGATGAATAAGTTCTTGAAACAGTTGGTATTCATTTCTTAGAAGCCCCTCTTCTTCACCCTGTAAGTACAAAATCAAGTGAAAAAAAAAAACACAATTAGTGAAACAATTCGTGATTCTGCTGAAAATGTTTACATTTCTATCAGATGGCTGAAGGATTATTCAACTTTGTAATAGCTTGGACACTCATGTTTGCTCCATTGCTATACACTGACCGCAAGAGAGATGGATACAAATTCTCTCTTGACGTCTTATGGGGTCTCATGATGTTCCTCACAAACAGTAATATAAACACACTTGTGACTTCTCTATAGCTCAGATTTCTTTAAAAAGCAAACCTTTAAACTAGATTTATCCGTTATTTTGATCTTGTGAATATCAAACAGCGTTTCTGATCCCATACATGGCTTTAAGGCTCAATGACGCTGACCCAGATGAGAAACCGAGCAAAAGGTCTCGACTTGGTGAAGCGATGACCAAAGGTGCGCCGATAGTTGGTCTGACAGGAGCTGCGGTGTGTCTGATATCAGCGTTGTGGTCTCTCTACGGCCGAGGAGATGGAGGTTTCGGTGGGGTGATGGATCGATGGCAGTATCTGATTGGTTATTTGGGATCGGAGAGACTAGCTTACGCCTTTGTTTGGGATATATGTTTGTACACGATATTTCAGCCATGGTTGATTGGAGAGAACCTGCAGAATGTGAAGAAGAGCAAGGTTGAGTTGGTGAGATATGTTAGGTTTGTTCCTGTTTTTGGTTTGCTTTCATATCTTTTGTTCCTCAATCTTGAGGATGAAGATAATTAATTAGTTATACTTACATATATCACATACAAGAGTATATAATGTGGAGAATTGAATAATTATTGTATGATTTACAACTATATTCTAAAATTGTGTTGACAATAGTTTCCTGTGTTTGACTTTGAACATATATTTTTTTACGAATAAGCAACAATTCAAACTCCACAAATTTGATGTCAACACTGAATCAAATCTTCTACAAACTGGATGTTAAAATTTAAAAAATTTAAATTATCATCATGTATAACAACAAAAAGAAAAGTTAATGGGCCATTTAGAGAATCTTCTTTCTTTTCAGGCCCACTTCAACGAACGCTTGAAGATGCTAGTTGTTAGGAAAGAGCTTCGACAAAAAATCTCTCTCTCTCTATCTCTCTCTCTCTCTCTCAGACTTCCCTTTCTCTGTTCTCTGATCGGTAGATCGGTCGAAGAATTTGCAACGGCCTCTGTGAAGTCGCCGTAATTGGTAAACATTTAATCATTTTATTCAGCTCAAAGTTCTCAGTCTTATAGGGAAAATCCGGATTTCCACAATTGTTTAGATCTTCTATATCTTTTTAAGTGTAAGTTTATAGATTCTAGGTCCAATTGTGTTTGCTCTCAGAGAAGATTGAAGGAATCCACACGAAAACTGAGCCGTAATTATTTTGGAATGGAAATGGAATGGGAAGAGCTCATATTGCCATAGGAGAGCCAAAGCCGTAATTAAATTCGCCTAATTTATGATCTCAGAAGGACTACTTCTGGGAAATTTTACTTTTGACTGAGATCTGGGTTTAGGTTTCTTCTATTGCTTACATTTCGATCAGAATCAGCGCCGGAAATTGAATTCAGTGTTGTGAATTTTACTCAATTATGAGTGAACTATTGAACTATTGCTCATGTATAATTTGTAAAGTCACAATCTTTTTTCTTTTCATTGTGTTTGATTCTGATTTTCTCTGCTTCTTTCTTCTTCGTTGAAGGTGGAAGTTAAGTTTTGGAGAGGATGTCTATGGTCGACGAGCCGCTTTACCCTATCGCAGTGCTTATAGACGAGCTAAAGAACGATGATATTCAGCTTAGATTGAATTCCATCAGAAGGCTCTCGACGATCGCACGCGCTCTCGGAGAGGAGAGGACGAGAAAGGAGCTGATCCCTTTTCTCAGCGAGAACAATGACGACGACGACGAGGTGCTGCTCGCAATGGCTGAAGAACTGGGAGTGTTTATTCCTTACGTTGGAGGCGTCGAGCACGCGCATGTCCTGCTTCCGCCTCTGGAGACTCTCTCGACGGTTGAGGAAACCTGTGTGAGGGAGAAAGCTGTGGAGTCGCTTTGCAGAGTTGGTTCTCAGATGAGGGAGAGTGATTTGGTTGATCACTTCATACCGTTGGTTAAGGTTAGTCAAAAGGAACAAAGTGTCCTCTTGGTTTTGATTATATTTTTACTGAAGATTTGATCTTTGTGGAACAGAGACTTGCGGCTGGTGAGTGGTTCACGGCGAGAGTATCAGCGTGTGGGGTTTTCCATATTGCATACCCTAGCGCTCCGGATGCGGTGAAGACGGAGCTGAGATCGTTGTATAGCCAGCTCTGTCAAGATGACATGCCGATGGTGCGGAGAGCTGCAGCAACCAATCTGGGGAAGTTTGCTGCTACGATTGAGTCGGCGCATTTGAAGACTGACATTATGTCCATGTTTGAGGATCTTACTCAAGATGGTAAATTTTCTTATCTGATATGGTTCACAACTGTGGCTTTGCTTGTCAATGATGCATTGATTACGTGACGTTATCTTTAATTGATGCTTCTTCATTTTCCCCATCTTGACTTTCCATAACAGATCAAGATTCCGTTAGATTATTGGCTGTTGAGGGTTGTGCTGCTCTTGGGAAATTGTTGGAGCCCCAGGACTGTGTCGCACACATTCTTCCTGTGATTGTGAATTTCTCACAGGTATATATGTGTCAAATATATATGCTTTTATGCCCATGTTCCTTGGAAAAGCTACAGTTAGGAGATGCTTAATCTTGTTATTGTGTATCTGAGCAGGATAAGTCATGGCGTGTGCGCTATATGGTTGCAAATCAGCTCTATGAGCTTTGTGAAGCCGTGGGACCTGAGCCTACTAGGTAAGAAAGTTTGTATTAGACCTTACTGCTGCTTGTCTTTATGAATTTCCTTGGGCCTATTGGATAAGAAATTGTACATAGAGAAGTTTGATGTTTATTGATCCATTTGGATGATAATTCTTGACATTATTTACTATGACTTCAATATAAAGGACCGACCTTGTGCCTGCATATGTGCGTCTACTCCGTGACAATGAGGCTGAAGTACGGATAGCAGCTGCTGGAAAAGTTACCAAATTTTGTCGGATTCTAAACCCTGAGCTTGCTATTCAGCACATTCTCCCCTGTGTAAAGGTACATGCTTAAGAAACGCCCATTGTAGTCAAGTTTCTCAAAGAATCAATGTGTAGTAGGCGTTACTTGTAACTAATAGTATTTTTTAATTCTATTTGTAGGAACTTTCATCGGACTCTTCTCAGCATGTCAGATCTGCATTGGCTTCAGTTATAATGGGAATGGCTCCAGTCTTGGGTAAGGTAAGGAAGTTTGCAAATATAGATGCAGTGGCTCTACAGTGATGGGAGATATTAACTGAGCCATAATCAATTGTACTAGATAATTTTCAGATTGAAGTGGGTTTCATTAATTTTTACATTGATTTTCCATTGCAGGATGCAACAATCGAGCATCTACTTCCAATCTTTCTTTCTCTACTGAAAGATGAGTTTCCGGATGTACGCTTGAACATTATCAGCAAACTCGACCAAGTGAATCAGGTTTGTTATGACCAAAGTTTAACAAATATAATGATACTCTCTTAACTCGACTTCAACTTGTTTTTGCCTATCCATTTCCAGTTGATGATTCCTACATGTTATATATGTGGCAGGTTATTGGGATTGATCTACTATCGCAATCCTTGTTACCAGCTATTGTAGAACTTGCAGAAGATAGACACTGGAGAGTGAGACTTGCCATAATTGAGTATATCCCCTTGCTGGCTAGTCAGTTAGGTGTTGGCTTCTTTGACGATAAGCTTGGCGCTCTTTGCATGCAATGGCTACAAGACAAGGTTTTGCTCTCTCACTATCTCTCTACCTTTACAGGAAAGATCAATTGTTATCAAAAGCTGATACTTGTTTTTTGCTGATGCTCTCACTAAGGTTCACTCAATCCGCGATGCTGCTGCAAATAATCTTAAGCGGCTTGCTGAGGAGTTTGGTCCTGAATGGGCAATGCAACATATAGTTCCTCAGGTTTTTGTCTAAAGATCTTTGCAAGTCTCTATAATTATCTTCGTAAGAGAGTCGCATTAAATCAACCGGTTTTCATTCATCTGCAGGTTCTGGAAATGATTAACAACCCTCATTATCTATACCGTATGACCATTTTGCGTGCGGTTTCTCTTCTTGCACCAGTGATGGGCTCAGAGATCACATGCTCTAAGCTCTTGCCTGTAGTAATGACTGCATCTAAAGACAGGCAAGTTCTCACTTTGAAATAGTTAAGACTCAAATCATTTTGAATATATATTAACAAGTTTTATTTTCCTCTGCTACAGAGTTCCAAACATCAAATTCAATGTCGCTAAAGTGCTTCAATCCCTCATTCCAATAGTCGATCAATCGGTAAGTACTCTATATATCTCTAATCAATCGCAAAATCCTTTGGTTTTGTTTTAATTTTTTGGTTCTGGTGAAAAAAGGTTGTAGAGAAGACGATTCGTCCTGGACTCGTGGAGCTAAGTGAGGATCCAGACGTTGATGTTAGGTTTTTTGCAAACCAAGCTCTTCAGTCTATTGACAATGTGATGATGTCTAGCTAAGGAAAAAAAAACTACTTTTAGATCCTTTGTCTCTGCTTAAAATCGTTTACTATTTTGATGCAAAATCAAGATCTCAAGACTTTTGTAACGTAAGTAGTGAATGATTATTGTGTTATGTTTTTAATTTCACGCAAACTAGAGTGACTCTGTACGGAATTTGTCCATTGTCTTTTGCTACGAGCAAATTTGTTTTTATTTTCGTTATAACTTCTTAAAGTTTATGAACATTTTCCGGAACAAAACCAGTTTCCCAAAACTTCTTGCTCCAGATTCTACTAAGTTCTGTTTTAAATACCAACCACACGATTCAGATGGTGGTGGCAGTATTAGTGATCTAATGGTGATTTATCGAGTTATTATAGAAGCATAATTTCGATTAATTTTTCCGATTATAAGATTTTGTATAATGAGTAAAGTATTAAGAACCAGGACTTACAATTGTAGATGAGATGGAATACTACTGTATTTTCCTTTAAAAAGTATAAAACCATTAGTTGGATAGAGTTTCGACCCCTTCATTTGTGTTTTAAAAGGAAAAACAAAACTTACTTAAAGAAAAAAACTTCTATACTAAAAGTTACTATTATTACTATATTTGGATTATTACTACTTCCTCCGTTTCAAATTAATTGTGGTTTTGACAAAATGTATCTGCAAATATTTGGACGTATCTGGACGTGTTTTGCATTGCAGATACGTCCAAATAATTGCATATATACATTTTTCCAAAACGACAACTAATTTGAAACAGAGGAAATATTATTTTCTTACTACAAGATATTTGGATTATTGAACCTAAATTTCGAATGGACATGCTCATTGCCGCGTGGATAGTTCAATTGCCATCAACATCCTAAAATTTCACATTTGTTCGATTTATTCACCAAAAATGAAAGATCACTTTATATACCTTTTCAGGGTTTGAACTTTCGTTGTGTTACTTGTGTAGTCGCAACTTTCGTTTGTGTAGTTCCTTTTTTTTGGTTAAAGTTTTCTTTGTGTAGTTGCAATCAAACAGAGTATTTATTTTGTTTTGGTTCCACCAGCCAAATCTATATTTAATGCTGGCTGCAGCCGAAAACGATCACTTACTCAATTTACTTTAGAACTGTATCTTATGCGTCTGTTTTGACTTGCCTTTGAAATTTAGAGAAGAAAAAAATAGCGTTGAAATGAAATGGTGAGTATATCCACCACGTGAAATTTGATCGATTTAATGTTAAGTTATAACTTTGAAGGGGTGTTGCCATATGCTCTTTCTACATCTTCTGATTTACGGACGTTAATGGAAGATTGGAAGATACTGTAGTTCATCAATGAAATGACAATACAAGACAAATACAAATTCTTGTGATTGGACCATCAAGTAACTAACGACGTGCCAAACTTAACGAACAGTATCGCGATTGTTATGCACACACATATTACTCACACGCGCGCAAACACACGTCACACGTGTATACTCAAGACTGCATAGTAATTAAGTAGTACTCACATGCACGACGTCATGCATGTTACTATATCTCCATCAAAGTATCGTTATCGATTGCTATTAATTGGGTATCAATACACAATCGTCAGTTGTGAAATATATGTCGAGTACGTAGATTTTACGATTAATGAACTTTGCTGATCTTCACATCTTTTATCCCAAAAAAAAAAACCCATCTTCACATCCACACTAACCTCCTCCTAAGTCCCAACATGCTAAGATTACTATTCCTAGGTTTTAACCTAAAAAAAAAGCATGCTATGCGTAGGCGCATTGACAGGGTTATGAGAGACAACCTACTTACCACAAAAACATTCAGTTCGGAGGCAGCAAAAACCTTTTACTTGGGTTTTGTAAGGTTTTAAAACTCTTTATTTCATTGGGAGGTTTCATTTGGTATGTTATCCATCGCTTGGGGGTTAAATTTAGTTAGAACGCATACGGTAGTTTGAGATGGTGTACTACAGGTTCTATATATTGATGTCTCTTAGGATTAAAGTAAAGAAAGAAAACCCAATTCTGTCGAAGAGAAACAGTATTCAAATATATAAACAAACCAAAGTTATGTACATATATATAATTTGTGAATCGACTGATGGATGGCAACCTAACCGTTATTTATACAATAAGTATATGGTATAGTGCTAATTTAGTGTACAAAAATGTTGGAGGTTAGAACATATATATTTCCCAACCACCAAAACAAATAATAGACAAAAGTGTCTATAAAATGCAATATCTCGACTACCTTAGTCTTATACCACAATTGCAATATCCTACCAAACACTTGTATTCTTTTGTTAAAGCAATTTCCTACCAAACACGCCTCTAGTAGAGACAGTAAGCTTTTGCTTTGTCTATTTAAGTAGATCTACTAGATCCTTTTAAATTATAAGTTCTACAAAAAAAAAGTATTTAGATAAGAAAACAAATATGATGTTTCTCATTCAAATTCCGCGAAAGAGAGCAAGAAAAAAACAAGCGTGGAAAGAAGAAGCGGATCCTATTAGCTTGGTAAGTTTTTTTTTGTTTGGTTGATGAATTTATATGTAGTGATTAGTTGCTTAGTTGGCATATCACTTACATCAGTATTTTGAGTTGATGTTTTTTTATAGATAACAAAAAAATTGAAGATATTATTACTTTAATCTCGTTCACGTTTGCGAGACGTAAAACTCGATCGCATTCGGGTTTGTATTGAGCTTTTAGATTATTGTTTGTGTTACCATCACTAGTTTTACTAACGACTAAATATATTCTTTCATGAAAAAGAGGTTATCACTAGATTAAATCATCAGAAATCAACAACTTATAAAATCCCACCCTGTGATAGCAGCTATACGGTGGCTATCTTAAGCTTGTGCGTCTTATTGCGTGTATATGTGTTCTAAATTTTTAAAACTTTACTCTACTATAACTCTGAAAGCATTTTTTGTTTGTAAAAATGCTCTAAATGATGTCTCTGTAGAAGATCCCAAACAAGAAAAATAAATTTATAGAATTAAGATATCAGAACTTACTAGAGGCTATTTGAAATATAATTACTATATCTGCCTATAATTAACGTACGTCACAAAGAACTAATCAAATAAAAAACTGTTCATGAAGTTAGTGCAACAATATATTTATTACTAACAATATAGTATTATATTTTCTTGTGTGTGCATCAAATGCTTTTGATGTGTTTTAACTATTTTCGTGTGTTGCTGATTGCTTCGCAGATTGATACAAGTAACCCTCCAATCTCCATGGAATATTCATTTGAGCAAGATGTTGGCATGAAGCTATACAGGTGAAGGACGAGCTGAATCTCTATCCATACTGCCTCGACCTCGATCCTTCACCTCATTATTAATAAACATAGTCTAGACTCTAGCGTTTCATTGTCAACTATGTATGAACTAGCATAGTGAATGTGGGATTAGACAAATAGGTTTTTTCATGTTTATGTGATTTACAGTGATTGTTTAAAGTTTATGCTCTATGTATAAACCTTTTAACTAAAGAAAAAATGTACTAACTTGCTAATAGTTGAAATTTGTAATATCTAAAGAAAAGTATTAATATGAGAGAAAATTTTGTTAAACTTGTTGCTATGTAAATTCACTGATGTTTGTTTTATTGCTAACAGGGCATAATACGTATAAATTATTTTTTGAAAAGGAGATAAATCTTGGGAATAAAATGGCACAATATCACAATTGAGAACTCATAATTTTGTATATCATTTATTTTGTTTAAATATTTTATGAAACTGTGCTTTAATGTCATATGTATCAATCAACAAAACAAAATGCTAGTTAAGGACCAAAACAAAAGCAAAAGAACTTAAGATCGGCTACGAAACCATATATAATTAAGGCACATAGTGATATAAGCTTGCCCGAGCACTACAAGAAACATATTTTTTAGTGTCACTTTTTTTTAAGTTTAGTATCATTTTTTAAATGATACAAGAATTATTGTATCATTTCAGAAAATGACACTAAAATCAATGACACTAAGTTTTTTTAGTATCACTTTTACAAATGACACTAAAATTAAAACTTTAGTATCATTTATTTACAAGTGATACTAAAAATGACATTTAGTATCACTTAAAAAATTGATACTAAAATGACATTTAAATCACTTGAACAAGTGATACTAAAATTGAGATTAGTATCATTTTTTTAAGTGATACTAAATGTCATTTTAGTGTCACTTGTAAAATGATACTAAAATTGAGATTAAATTAAAAAAATATATATATATATATTCAAGCTAAAATATCCTTATATAGTAATCAAACTAAAATTTACTTGTAGTAAAATGTATACAACCTCAAATTTACTTGTAGTAAAATGTAAAAATGTGTATTTGTGTCTTCTTCCTTGTATTCTCTTTTTCAAGTATCTCATACCTGCCAAAATAAAGGGCAAATTGCATCATAAACATCAAACATCTTATAAGAAACCATCAAACCATCAAGTGAAACTTAGTTCAAACCTCAAACCTCAAACTTAGTTCAAACCTCAAACGTATCAAGAAGCTAAGACTACCAACTTGATTCATACCAATACTACACGTATCAATAACTCAGAACAAGTTAATTACCTTATGAAATGTATATAATCCTGTCTTATCGTGTCACCTTCACGTACTATGCCCTGAAAACATTAAAACAGAGTAAGAGCTAAATAAAGCAACACAGAACAAGAATATATGCACACAGAACAAAAACATATGCAACTTACCTTCTACAGTTGCAATCCGAGCTGAGAAGACTATTAAGCACCCCATTATCATCCTGTAAACAAAACAAAGAAATGTTTCAATATGTGTAAAGCGAAACAAAGTTTGAGATATTCAAGAGTTGGAGAAAGAGGAGAAATGTTTTACCTTTTAAGGCCACCGAGGCTTTGGTTACCGATGACAAGGCTTGAGAGAGGAATATGTTCAACTGCTTCACATATCTTCTCACGAGGATCTCCCCAATATATCTTCATCACTACTGTAATCTATTCATGTTTCACAACAGTTGGATCTTGATTTATAAGAAACCAAACACTCACTGTAAAGCAAAAGGGAAACCAAGAAGCTTACAGATTTATTGCTAGCTGCTGTGTTGGCAATGTCAAGGGTTTCAGCATCTGGCTTCACTCCATACTTCTTCATCACAGCAGCATCACATCTGACACACAAAGACTCTTATTTTTCTCTCTTTGTTCATGACCGAAAAGATTCATCTAAGTGAGCTATTCGTAGTTAAAAGAATCATTACCTTTCGTGCTATCTTCTCAAGCTTCTCCTGCTCCATCTTCTGCAATAACATGGTAGGCAGTTAAGAGTTTAGTTCCACCAAGTTTAATCAAACCCACAATGCAATAATCAAAACTAAAGAGGACCCGCAGGTGTCAAATAGAATCAAGCAAGAGCTCGATTAAAAGTTTTCATCATCATCATCACAGGAAAGTAGATAGACTGTTATTTAGCTTTGAGGATTCCGAGTCTAAAGAGCCTAAATTAGAGAAAACATAGTGAAAGCCTCTGATAATTTTCTGTAGTAACAATGTAGATAGTTAACAGTTTAGTTCCACCAAAGTTATTTGCATTGTATGATACAATCAGATAGGACACAAATCTTATCTAATTAGTTTTTCAAATAGAATCAAGCAAGAGCTCGGTAAAAAGTTTTCATCATCATCAACAGAGAACATATAGACTTCGAGCCTAAAGAGAGACTAAATAGACAGCAAACAGAGAGAAAGCTGCTGATTTTTTTTACCTTACTGAAAACCTTCTCAGCAGCTTCTCAAGGTACACCTTCTCCTGAAGACATTATGCGATATATCAAAGTAGTCCCATCGTAGAACTTTTCTGACTAAGACAGAGACATAAAAGTGAAACCAACCCAGACTATTTTTTCACTCAGTATCAAGTCGTTTTTGTCTTCGTTCAATCTCGTAATCTGCACAACGAGTCTACAACCCACCTGTAACACACAAAAATAAACTGAGCAAACTCATAACGGTGAAGCCAAAAGTTCATGCAGTAGAAGAAGAAACTCTTGTTTACATTTTCCTTCAACTCGGTGAAATTATTCACTTTCTTCACCAGTTACTGCTTTGGAATAAAAGCTCTCAAACCCTGAAATAAACCAACACAAAAGCTATGCATTATCTAATCTAAGCAACATGTGAATCCCCCAAATCAAGACGACAAATTCTAGTACCTCAAGTTTCTCCACGGTGATTGCTCACAACAACATTACATCCTTCCTTTGACAATCTGCAGCTGATTTTTAGTGTTTGGGAGCTTTTTAGTGAATGATTTTTAGTGAATTCAGTGAAGCCACAAAACTATAATCCTTCACTGAATTCTCTGCACAAACGTGAAAACTGATATTAGTAAAGGATCAGAACAGAGAACACAACATCATCACAAAGTACTTGTACGAGGAGCTTACCTTCTAGTGTTGAGAAGAGTATTAAGAAGATCATTCATCTTCTGGTACTCATCTAGGACCTGAGAAAAATTGAATGTCAAGCAAAACGAATCATTCCTCCTGACGAGAACCTAGATAGGGATTATAACAAGGATACTCAAATTACAGGAAAACTACGACAAGAGATTCCTAGTTGAGCATAAGAATACCTCATTGAGAAGAGAAAAGGCACTTCGAACATGGTAATGATCGTCCATGAATCCCACCGCACAAAGGCCATTTCCTATATCAAAAACAAAGCACGAACCCTAATTACCCCAAAATCGAGAACAATTACAAAGAACTACATTCATCGCATAGCCCGTAAAGACCTAGAAAGAGGTGAGAAAACAATTGCACACATCCTAATCATAAAAGTTGGGAAATCGAAAAGCCGATCCGATTCCGCAGAATGAAGAAACGAAATAGGAAAAAGGGAATGGCAATAGATCCGAGAGAATAGAGAAAGAAACTAGCGATCTAAGAGGTAGAAGAAGGAGAAGAACCTTCGTGCTGAACGGATTGGCGCGGGGAAGGAGGGTTTAGGCTGGCGACGGTGCAATCGACAGAGACGACAAACTCCTTGACGCTCGCTGGAAATAGCCAAAGTGAGATACGTCGGAGGCGTTGGCGAGGATAACGAGCTCGGAAGTTTTGGGAGCGCAATTGATCCTCGATCGAGGAGCTCGGAGAGAAGAGACCTGCTTTTTTTTACAACGGCAAATTATTATTTTTATTTTGCAATTTATTTTTAATTCAAACCATAATTATTAATTTAAAAAAAAAATCTGAATATGCTGATTTTTAGTGTCATTTACAATGAAATGATATTAAATACTGTTTCTTTGTATCATTTATAGATGAATGATACTAAAAAATCATTATTAGTATCATTTACAAGTAAATGATGTAAGTGTCTTTGTCTTAGTGTCATTTTCAACAAGTGATGCTTTCTAATATGATTAATTTTTAATTTAGCATCATTTGTTAAAAATGATACAAAATAAACGACACTAGTAAATAGTTTTGTTGTAGTGGAGTCTCTAATTGATTTGTCATTTGTCAATTGTGTGAGTCAAAATGCAGAGGCGTGTAGTGTATGCGACGCTGTTGGTACGCACGCTTATACTGGTTACCGGTTGAAGCTCAGGGAGAAAGCAATGGATGTTAATCCCACATGTAGTCCTTTTTTCTTTCTTTCTTAATAACCTTTTCTTTTTTGGGCATGGCTTATCGATGTTTTTCTATATAACTGTTTGATTACCTTCCGTGCCTAAGGAGGAGCTTATGGAGTTAACATCTTCGGTTTATTCCTCCTTGAGACTCCTCCGTGTAGCTGAATTAAGGACGTACAGTTCAGTGTTTTCTCATTTTGTTTCCACCAAAATCTTGGATTCTTCAGCGTATACCAATTCTCGGCTTACATATCCAACAATAACACTTTTGGCTAAGTATAATTAGCGATGAACAAAACTAGCGCTCTCCCACACGGATTTACATGAGTACCTTTAGAATTTATCCGTTGGTATTTAGGATTTTTTACCTACGTAGACGCTAATTTGGAACTTTTGTTCCTTAAAGCAAGCTGCTAAACATTTTTCAAAACGGGCTGTGAACGAGAAAATGGCTAAAGGAAAAGGGATAAGTGCAAGTCTACCGTCAAAATTCCATTACTGGTGTGAAACAATTTGTTGGTGAAGGCATTTTTTTGTTTCTTGTTCAAAACCAACATTCAAGGTTAAGAGTTCTTTTCCCGCTCTTTTTTTTTTTTTTTTTTTTTAAATGTCCTTTCTTTCATTCATCTTCTTCCTCGAAGAGGAGGCCAATACAAGATGAAAGAAAGAAACAAAGAGAAAGGGAGAGACTAATACATAAGAGAGAACAAATACATTAAGTTAAACTCGTGAGAAACCGATGTTCTCAAACCAAGTATAGATGAAGCTCGGTTGAGAAACCGATGTTGAAGTCGAAGCATTACTGAGGCCAATTTCTGTTCTGTCTAGAGCAGCGAGTTTTGCCCTCATAAGGAGTTGAATCTCCTTCAACAAAGTGTGGGAAGCCCTTCCCGCTTTTTTGGGATTGGTAGATGAATTCCAAACGATTCTTAAATTTGATAGATTTTGTTGTTATTGGTTGATGGAGTTTTGAATTCTTGGCAAATCCAAATTCAATGAAAGAGAAGATACTTACATTGTGAACAAGTACGAATGATTTGTTAGATGTTTCGACATATTCCACTAGAAGCTGAATTGTCTCTTCTTAAGCAAAATGAGGTAGAAATTAACTTTGAATTCGAGTGATATTCTAAGTGTACCATAATTTATACCGTTTCTTTTTGGCGCCTCTTTTCATATTCAAATAAAATTGAAGACATTGTACGAAACATTTTTTTCTGTTATCGGAGAAAGTTGTGTCCAATGAGCTATCAATGCTGAGTTATGTGCAAACAATAACATGGGAAAAGGTGTGGGAAATTGTTTAGTAACAAAAAACTGAAGTATTTATAATCAACTTTAATCTTTTTTAATATAAATTAGAAAAAACAAAAAAAAAATCCATCAATAAAAACCAGAGCGACCGAGTGGTTGTGTGACAGACTAACAGTTCATATCGTTTAACTGATACTTATCATGTATTATCAATATAAAAATGTAGTATTAAAATAAAAATTGTCTCCATATCGATCCACTAGTTTAGACTTAATCATGATCGTGAGAAAGAATCTTTGAAATCTTGATTTAATATTTTACTCTTGTAAGACTAATGTCGCGATGGCAAACCTTTTGTGTGTGTGTTAAACAATGTCAAACTTAGCTGATCGATCTTAGCTAATCAAATTTAGGAGAAGATTATAATTAGATTAGCACAAACTATATAAATAAGGTTCGCATCAAATCTATGTTTATACGCAAATGTCTATAAATTTAGAATGAACTAAAACTATACAATTACTGATTAGGTCTAGTCGAATATGCCATATGGATATAACATTAGTTAATAATATGAGAAGCAAACCAAGAAAAGCATTTCCTATGTTTTGATATCGTCTTAAAGCAAGTATCAAGAGCTGTTTAGGCTTCTAGTGACTGCCAAAGGTCACATAAAACCTGCTAGCTTTTAATTTAGCCTAACCCATCTGACCTGTTTATTAATCTTATCTTAGGGAAACTCTAATCCGATTCCTGTTCTTCTGGATCTATCATTCTTGTATTCCTTTGATATATAATACTATAGACATTCTTTAACAAAAAAATAATACTATAGACAGATCTTTAGAATCGTTGAAGTAGTTTAAGTAGACTAGTATAATACTATAGACATATCGAGAACGCCAATATCTTTTCTCTAGATTCAAGTTTCCCGATGGTCTTTTTATTTCAAGTAAGAAAATTAGTCAATTCAAAAAGAAATCCATCAATTTGATGTAAAATTAAACGATATAGTCCCATTTGGAAAAAGTAGTAGAAATTTGGTCACGTAGCTCATAAAGCCACATGAAATGAACTCTATGTTTCGGTTTGAGATTTACGCGGTTATAAGGAAAAGGCAACAAATAAAAATCTACGACAAGGAGCCCAACGTGGAGGACATTTGTATTAACATTCAAGCAACATGAGGATAAAGTTTTAACTGGAAAAGTTAAAGTATATTTTTTTCTATACTATAGCTAGGAAATTTGTAGATTATGCTCTTTTGATTCCAGCATATTCTTCCCACGAATAAGCCCATATATATAATGTCTTCCGGTATGCCATAAGATATTTCATATTTTCTATGATGGCTTTGTATATCTTTATCTTATTAAAAGTGGCCGACGGTAAATATGCTAAAGATGAATTCAATATTTTTTGAGTTTGTTACTGGATGACGTTATATACATGAGCGATCTAAAAAACGAAATTAGTTTAAGGAAGAAGTTTTATATCGATCTTTGAACCGGTTTTAATGGATTCCATCTAAAAAATGTTTACTTTAGTACCGGTATTTGACCCCCAAAAAATGAAGGTCTTAGACTAGTCCAAAGGACCAAAACGATGTGGTCACATATATTCGATCAATTAAGTGCACCAACTTCATATGGATATTTGATTTATAGCAACCATGATGTCAAAAAGCATATTAAAACTTTAAAAGTTACACTTATCTTACGTAATAGTATCTAGCGTATCGCTCCAAACATCTAATAAAACTCTTTCATCACGATTTAAATAACAAAAAGTACGTATGAAAAGAAAATTTATGATATTTTTGCATCTTTTGTCTTTGTACGAGTAGAAGAAGACATTGCTGGTGAGCTACACCGAGTAATTCCTCTGTTAGAGAATCTTGATCTTTCCTCCGAAATTGTCCGACCAGAAATGGAATTGCTCGGCCACTCTGAGGGCAACGGACTGACCATAGGTCCGTAAATCCCGGTGGTGGTCTCACCCGATGCTACGGCGTTTTCCGTGGAGTGGCTAGCTTGTGGGACCCATAGTCCACCGACGACCACGAAATGTTGCGTTTGAGAGTTTCTGTTGTTAGAGATTGTTTGGCTTGGACGTCTTGTATGCAGCCTATATTTCTATTTATCATCCAAGAAAAAGAAATTAAGATAATAAATACTTTTATTATAGAGAATTATATGTACTTATGTACCAATATGTTGGAATAAATGTTGAATTCAATGGTACGTTAGCTTTTGAAAAGGGCTTCTTACCGACAAACTTTTACTGTACTTTGAAAGATTCACGTGCGCAAGTGTCTTAATTTGGCAAACAGATAGTTTTAATTTGTTTACTAATTATGGAAAGTAGTGGAGTATTATTTAGACGTCCTTTTTTATACAGTAATTTACTAACCTGTACTAACCTGTAAATGACTTTTGACTTCATCATTGGTTAACCCATCAATCTTCATTAGCTCTCTGATTTGTTTCGGCGTACCTACTTCAAGATTCCATTAAGCAGAAAACGAATTCATCAAATTTCATGAACCCTAATCAAAACTGTGAATATGAAAAATGTTAAAAATCAAGAAACGCACCATGAGGACCACCAAGCTGTTTAAGAGCGTTCAAAAAGCGTCTGTGCAACTCTTGCGACCAACACCGCCTCTGCTTTCTCTGGCCTCTTCCGCGGCCGCCGTCTTTCTCCAAATCCTTTTTCTGTCCACCGCTTCCGCCGCTAACAGTCGCCGGATATTTTCTGTCGTCGTTCTTCCCGTGGCTCGTTTCACAATATGGCGGTTGATTAGACGCTGCTCCGTCCTCATTTCCTTTGACTGACACCACCGTTTCTGTCTCCTGTTGTGAGTGTTCCTGTAAACGTGAAACGCAAGTAACAAATTTTAAATATAAAAAATATGAAGATGTTCAAAGCCCTTCATTAGAATTCAGAATCTTACCGATATATTGGAGAGAGCTGCGTCAGGTTGGTTCCAGAGCTGCACAGACTTGAGCCATTCAGATTTCATGTCATCAGAATCTATGTCGCTAGCATGAGATTCGTGTTCACCATCATCATCATCATCACCATCACCATCACCATCACCATCTTCATCATGATCAACCTCTTCTTCTTCCTCTTCTATGGAGGTCGAAGAGTATTTAATGGGTATGAACAGATCCAAGATGGCCCCACATTCTCCGGTTGTCTGTTCCGAGCACTCTGGTTGTCCGTACAAGTTCTCAGTCGTCGTCCCTGATATCTCTTTTTTATATGCTTCGATCGCTAAATTCCCAAATTTATTTGACATATTAAATAAAATCTTTAGATCTCACATTTTTGAAAACATTTTATATATAGAAAAATAAGTAGATGCATCTATGTATGTATAGATTTATACCTTGAGTGACGAGCTCCAAGCAAAGAGGAAGCTCGCGTTGGAAAACATTGATCTTGCGGCGTTCTTCTTCAAGAGCTTCGATGTACTCATAACATCTTTCACGTTTCTGGTTGTAACTCTTCATATTGCTCAAGTTCTTAATCATGGTGATTTTAGAGACAAGTATAAATTTTATTTAACAAATAATAATAGTATACTCTTTAAACAAGAAGGTAATGTCTCTTTATAAAGAGAACATATGTATGGCTATATATGGTTTCTCAAGGACCATTATTTTGAGAGAGAAGTCGAGCCGTCGCATTACAAGACGAATCTTACTCTTTCTTATAGATTATGTGGATACCTTGATCCCCAAATAAATACTATAATATATGATTTGCAAAATAATAATATAAAGGAGATTTGTCTCGTTGTAAGTAGTATAGATTGGGAGTGGTGAATATTCGAAAGTGATTCCAAGCTTTTTTGTAGGAATTTTATAAAAAGATCTAGGGTATATCCAAACAAAGGTGGATTCTTATATATAGTTAAGAAATTCTAAGTCTAGGGATTCACATGGATAGTTTGTTACTTTGTTATGCTAGAAATTTTACGTATAAAACAAGAGAGGTGAGTCGATCTATTTTGATTGAAAATCAATGAGCTTTTAGAGCCCACTTGATTCCATTCCCATATAGACTTCAAATTCTATAGTGTTATCTTCAGTCTTAAACTCCGCTTCTTTACTTAATACGGGGGAAACAATATGCAAATAGACAAATCTTAAATCAGCCGGCAGAAAGAAAATCCAAACGTGCATGAGCTATTCTGTTTTATTAGTACTAGTTTCACTTAAACAAAAAAAAACTATACAAAACGCTGAAAATATATTTGGTCCCTTGTAAGAATATCCCAAAATGATGAAAAGCCAAATGTCTCTTCGTAGATAGCCGAAGCATGGGAGAAGAAAAGCCATACATAAAACCTCACATATACTATTAATTACTAAGTATACTTCTAAAAAAACAATTAAAATGTCGTTGGACCTTGACACCTTGTTGAATTCGTTACAACCTTATCCATAAATACAAATATATTAGTGTTTATGCGTATAATAATCCAGACAATGTGAGTGCAGAGAGTGCCAATATCTTGTGTTTTGACCAGTAAGTTTAATTATGTCAATTACCAAGTAAACCAAACATGGGAATGTTTCTTCCAATATAATGGCGAGCCAATGAATTTCGTTATCAAGACATATATTAATGTTATAATATATCAATTTATATGCTAAGCTGTTGTTATGTCCATGGTGTTTTCAGTTTTATATGAAAAATATATGTGATATATATTAACACTTAAGGCCTTAAGGGCTCTAATAGCTGTCAGCTTTAATGGAAAAAAAATTGGTCGTCTCTAGAAATCGAGATTGGTGTCTGATGAGCTTGTCTGTTTTTAATAAGATTGAAATTTGTTCTTAGTTAATAAATTAGTTAGCAAATAAATTGTAGAGATGTGTAAATTACTACTATTAGATTATAGTTGTCCCCTCAAGAGTGTCAAAAAACCATATTCACCGTAATACTAATACTAATCTAGTACGCCCAACAAGCCCACTTTATATACGGCCTCATCTAAGAAATCTGACCACAGTCAGCGATCAAGAGGCTTCGAAGTCCTTCCAGAGTGTCAGATCCAACCTTAACCTTGTCAACGTCCTCCATGTTAACGTCCTCCATACTCAGCTGATGCTGTGAAAAACATTCAAAACTTCCGCTTTTTAATCTCTTTGTTCTCAAGCGCAAAGATGATAACAACAACACCTTATCATATAAAGTCTAAGATTTACCTCAGGTTTAGGGTCTAGCGCAATAGGTGATAACACCTTCTCATCCTGATTAAGGTAAGCAAGATTTAGAGTCTTATTGTATAAAGAGAAATTAATGGACGATAAAAACATGTTAGTACCACAATACAGTTGAGGTTGCTCGAGTAATACTCATGTTCAAGGAACACATCTCCAAGTGCATTTGTGCTTGTTACTGTAAATTCAGAGAAAACCTAATCAGAGGATATGTTCGAAACCTAATCTACTGCAATTCCTACTTTTCTAAAATTACCTGAATCAATGGTAAAATTTCCACTCTGTGTGTTGAAGTAGCATATCTTTCCCACTAAAGCGTTACCATCAGAACGACCACGACCACCAGAGTAAGAAGTCCTATGAGTTTTTTTGTCCTCACGAAATGTCACTGTAGCTCCGCCTTCGAAACCTTTCTTAGCTCCAAGGTAACCATTTTTCTCGTCCTCCATTGAAGCTCCAAGAATTGTTAGATCTGAAAAACTAGGGTTTTCTCTTTTTTTCCAAGATCTGAGAAACTAATGTAGTCATGTAGAAGACGATGTCTCCCGTGTCTCGTGTAATGTACGACCTCTCTTACGGCGATGGGCCTATGTTGAATCCAAGATTTAAGTTGGGCTTCTAATATTATTTTGCTCTCACCCATGCTATACTCTCTAAATGGGCTTATCGCATTTTCGCAATATTAATATTAATTAATGCTCTAATGGAAGATGATTGATATCTCGAAAACCCAAAAAGGGTAAAAAGGCTTATAACGAAAAACACTTTTTTTTGTACCACTTTATATACAGGCTTTGTCAACTTTCTTTCAAATACCAAAAGCCGGAAACCCAAGAAAACCGGACCGAATGAATTAAACCGATTGCACATGCCTCTTGTTTTCTTCTATTGGATGCATCGACGAACAGGTTTTCTTCCTACACATATGCTTTGACTGGTAGACACATTGCCATGTTACTTGCGCTTGTCACATTTCTTCTCAAATTAATGCTAATGGCACACATTAACTGAATTAGCACTAACTGACTTGCCTTCTATAGTTTCAAAATTGAATGCAAACAAAATCAAGATTGCCTTTATAAAAAAAAAAATCAAGATTGCGTTAATCTTAAGGGGTTTATTGGTTTTGTGATTATCCTTGATTTATAAATTCATATAAGATTGGTTTTGAATCTTTAAAACTAGAATGATTGGTTTGGAAATACCAATGGGTTTAACTTGGATTTGGCTCTTTGCATTTTTAAATTAAGGGGTTTTATTGGTTGTATAAGTTTAAAATGATAAGTTTCTATTACTAGAACCAAAAAAAAAAAAAAAAAATCAACTCTACTATAAAATACATCATGTTATGGGTAAATAAGTGGATGCCCATTAGGCCCATTTTATTCCCTAACATAAACTCTACATAAACCCTACTTGTAATCCTATATATAGGATCATCACCTCCAATGAATGAATAAGCTCATTTCTCTTCTCCTTTTCTCACAACACGTTAACAGCACGAGTCTCTACCTCTTAGCTTTTGATTTCTCTCAAAATCAAATCTCCTCATAGTTCTTATTATTATTATTCTTTTACACAAGATTCAATGAGTAATTTCTATTACTTTGTTGATTTGTGGTTATTCTACTAAAATCCATTTTTATTAATACTTAATCAGTATTATTTATTGATAATATTTTGGATTCAACAAAGACCTGTTTTATAATATTGTTTTTATTGTCTAATTATATTATATCCCTGAAGGATTAATATTACAAAATTTATATATATCCCTGAAGGATTTATATTTTATGAATATCCCTGGAGGATTTATATATTATTTTTCCTTGAAGGAATTATATATATATCCCTGAAGGATTTATCTTTTATTTATATCCCTGAAGGATTTATAATTTATTTCTATTTTATTTCTATTTTATGTTTATTTTATTTATATCCCTGAAGTATTTATATTTTAATTCTATTTTTATTTATATCCCTGAAAGATTTATATTTTATTTATTTTATTCATATCCCTGAAGGATTTACATTTTATTTATTTTATTTATATCCTAGAAGGATTTATATTTCACTATATCCCAGAAGAAATAATTTATATTATATATTTATTTATAGATCCCATATGGATTTATATAATTTATTTATATTTCCAGAAGAATTTATATATTTTTATTTATATATTCTAATATGATTTATATTTCTGTTATCCTAGAAGGATTTAATTTTTTTTTTATCCTAGAATGATAAATATATTTCAAACTAAATATCCCAGCAGGATTTTATAAATTTTATTTATATTATTTATCCGAGAAGGATTTTATATTGTCTATTATTTTATTTGCATTTATATATATATTGTTCTTATTTATTTATAATTTGCTTTTCAATATTTTTTTATTTTAATTGTTTTTCGTAATTAATTAATTGCTAAATTGAATAATTATTGAAAATGAAGAAATTTGAATTAATTTGCATTGTTTGCATTAATTTGAAATATTCTTGCATTGATCACTTGACCATATTAAATTCATATTGACCATTTGATCACAATTTTGATTATAACTAATAAATATGCTAGAATCACTCTGAAATTATTCGTCATTAATATTATAATTTTTCTTGTTGACTGGTTGTTTTTAAATAATTGAAAGTTCAATACTTCATTATATTTTAAATCGAATCTTGACCAACCTTGTTATAATATTGATTGATTTTTATATCATGACTTCATATATCATTGATATTACGTATTATTGATTTATTAATGGTTATTGTATTTTTCTTTCATATCTATGAATTAATTGATTAATGAGGTGATAATATCAGTAAATGGTATGATTGATTGAGTTATCCTCTGATGTTCTTATTTTTGTAGATTAAATATTTTATCTATCATCACATCTTTGATGATATTAAGATTAATATATGGATCTAAAGAAATACATGATCACCAGAATGTGACATGATTTAAATTATGATGATATTATCTAAGAGCATATGACTTGAAGTCTATAAGTGAAGATAATACTTATGCAAAGATTAAAATATATCATGTATATATTGTTGTCTTGCAGACGCAATAACATTAATATATTTGAGAAGTATTTTTTTTTGTTGTCTTGTAGACACAAAAATATTATAATATTTGAAAAGTAATTTTAAATATTATTGTCTTATTGACAAAATATGACAAACTCAAATTGTCACTTGAAGTGATAATAAAACGGTAATGTTATTGATATTAATTATTTTATTATATTATTATATCTTGTTTATATATGTTTGATAATATTTATTTATTTTTCAATTATACTCTATATGAATATTTTGTATTTTCATTTAAAATTACAAGACTTGAAATCTATAAATGATTTTTATTTATCTGGAAGATAATGTAAATCAATGATGATAAAAGACATATATTGTCCAACTGACAAAATATTATTGAAGAAAATTTAAGAAATTATTTTGATAAAATAATGAGTTACTAATGAAAATTTTGAATGTTGTCTAATTGGTTTTGATCCATTCCCTGAAGTGAATGTGATATGAATGATTAAATATATGATCATAGACATGAATATGAATCTTTTGTAGTTCATGTTAAGGTCAAAACCAAAAATTTTTATTTCAAGAACTCAACTTCTCACAAGAAGTGAGAAAATAAAGATGAAAGCAAATAAAATATACACATCTCCAGAAGAGTACATAAATCTATATTTGCTTATAATAAACAATTTTTGATGCATTATATCTTTCAAATCTTAGAAGTGAAAAGAATCAAACACATAATAGAAATATAAAAATTTTAAAGAATCAAAGATATAAAACATGATTCAAGTTGGATATATTATTGATTTTATACTAGCGATCCATTCGAAATTGATGAACCTGAAGTGACATCATCTCGAGGGGGAGAATGGATGAATCCCTCAATCACTCGAAAGTGAAACATCTAGAAGATTATGTTCACACTAAAAATAATCATGATGAATCATATATAATGTAACTCAATAGTGTAAATTTATTTTGAAAAAAAAAATAACATACACTATCCAATGCCTCATCATAGACAAAGATTATATAGGAGATGTAAATGTTATGTAGTAAACTAAAAGTTTACCGAATATAACATAGTTTGGCATGAGCTGGTTAGACCATTTTGATTCAAGAATTATGCGAAATAAAATACATCATGTAAAGATTTATTGAAGAACTTGAAGATTCTTCTTAATTATCTATAATGTGATGTTTAATCATAAGACATTATGATTATACAATTACCAACTAGCCAAAATAGATTTGGAATGTATCCAATTTGTAGAAAGAATATAAGAAACTTTTGTGGTCTAATAAACCATTATATGGACTGATCATCCAGTAAGAGAAATGTTATGGTGTTTCTTAAATATATCAACAAGTGTGTTGTATCAATCAATTACATATCTGCAACCTGAAGTTTGCGAGATTACTTGGTAGTGCTAGTGAAATCACATCTTAAATCTTTGTTGAGAAAAACATGTTTGTAAGAATAAATGTTGAACATCCAGTAGCAAATGTTCATCATTACACATAATGCAAAAGCATTAATTCGCAGAAAGCCAATGAATAACTAAAATTTCTCCCCATCGTAATTGGTTTAGGTCAGAAACCAAAGTTTTCCATCTAAAGATCTATGGATGTGCAGAATACATTCATAACGCTCCACCACAACAATATAAGATGGACCCTCGAAAGAGATAGTAAATGTATGTTGGATGTTAATCTCCTATGATAATATTTAGAGCTATCCATGAAGGATTTAAATATGGCTCAATTTGTAGACTGTCATTTTAGTGATTCAGTCTTTCCAACATCAGGGGGAGAAAATAAAACAGCTGGAGAAAGATTAAAGTTAGAATGAATTATCATTGATCCTCAGACGATAGTATGTGAAATAAAAGTCTAAAAGATAATTCATTCACAAAACTTACTGTATCAATTGCCAGATACAATTACTGACCCAAATATAGTGTTGAGTCACTTACCAGCTGTAAATGCTCTAAGAATAATTGATTTCCCAGAAGGACAATATCAAGCTGCTAGTAAGTCTAAAGAACGCATGAAGTGTGATAGACTTGTTGGTTCCAAATATTAGTTACCTCGGTAAAGTAAAATGAGCATAAATTGATAATGGTTAAACCGAGGAAACAAAGGTTTTTGAAATGATCTCAAGAAGAGACATTAAACATGACAAGAAAGAAATTCAGGTACCTGAGACAAAGAAGAGATCTCGAGAATTAATTATGTCATGTATGGAATAAAATGGAACCATAAAAGCAAATCGACGTCGTAAATAAAATATTTGCATGCATTATAGCAGTTGATGTTATGAATGAGAAAGAGGATCATGAAACAAAGTCTATTGCATTGTGTACACAAAGTAATGATTTGGCCAAATCGAAAAGAAGCAATAGACACAAAACTAAAATCTCTTAGAAAGAGAAATGTATTTGGACCAGAAGTCCTTACACCTTAAAAAGTGTAAAACAAGTGGGTTATAATAGGCATGTGGTGGATGCAATTTCAAGTTCATTAAGTGTGGCAATGAAAGAAGAACTTGACTCATAAGACCCACTAAATAATGACATTTTTATAAAAGTCCCTGAAGGATATAATTCCTGAAGGATTAATGATATCAAAACTAGTTCCCGAAGAACTCTAATTATTTGATCAAATGAAGAGAAATACTCTCAGTGGGGTACAATCACAAAAGTGATATATATACATACACATATAATCAGTACCCACTGTATATTTATAAAAATATTAAGGTTGGATCAAAAGAGATCTTAATCTAAACATTATCGAAATTCTTGAAGAATTTCGAATTAGAAATTAGATAAAAGATATTGGAAAGACAAATTTGTCTTAAGATATCTCATATTCACAGTTTAACAAAAGAGATATTATCTCAAAAGATCATTGTAAGATTTGCATTAAAAATGCTTACATTTGGTTCTTGAAGTACCACACTTTAAATTATATTTGAGAAATGTGTTGGTCTCTTTCATAACTGAAAGATGAGAACAAAATGAGCATGAGATAACTCATATATACAAGATAGACATTTACAAGAATGTATATAAAGAGAAAGTTTGGCCAGAAGTCCAAATATAACAAGAAATGATTGTTTATAGAAATAGATGTCATATACTAGAAGTTCAAATGACTTTTATTGAGGTTATACTCATAGCAATCTCCAAAAGATGATATTTATTATTGGAATGCATCTCTTGAAGAAGATGCTTCCAAGGGGAGATATAAGATGATATGTGTGGTTGTACTCTTTTTCCTTATTGTGGTTTTTATCCTTGGGTTTTTCCATGAAAGGTTTTAATGAGGCAACAAAGAACACACAAATGAGAAATATCTAAAGGAAGTCTAAAGATGAAAGTTTAATTCCTTTCCAAAATTCTTCTCATCCATGTATGAGATCAATTGAAGCAAAGAGAATGATCGAGATAAATCACCAGCAAGATTCATGCACTGCAGAAGAATGACGATGTCAATGTCCTAAATACTGTTCAAATAAAGACTGAAGATTTACTCGAAGATTTACCTGACAAGGAGTTTTCAACTACAACTTTCAAGGAAAGAGGTCATCTGATTGTGACGGATGTTCTCATGAGGGGGAGTGATTGCGCGATGCACTCTTTTTCCTTAACCAAAGTTTTTCCCACTGGGTTTTCCTGGTAAAGGTTTTAACGAGGCATCATCCTATGTATTTAGAATGTATTTTTGTATAATGGTCATCCAAGGGGGAGTGTTATGGGTAAATAAGTGGATGCCCATTAGGCCCATCTTATTCTCTAACATAAATTCTACATAAATCATACTTGTAATCCTATATATAGGATCATCACCTCCAATGAATGAATAAGTTCATTTCTTTTCTCCTTTTCTCACAACACATCAGATTTTAAGAATTTTGATTCATTTAAAATGATTCATTGTTCATTTTATAATGCAAAGGTATTAGGTATTTAAGTTTTCTAAACTTCTAAAATCTATGGAAGAGCAAATACCAATTTATTTTATTTTCTCAAATGGCAATTACGTTCCACGCTGTAGAAAACTTGCTGTCGTCCTCAACAAAAGTCACATGAGAAAATTTCATCAAAAGATTCGATTACAACAAAAACAATTACTAGTAGCTTTATTATCTTAAAAAAAAAAAACACAAAAACTGATTTCACGAATTAATTAGTAAAGTTTTTTATGGTAGCGCCTGGCTCAGTCGCCTTAGCTGCCGGCGCCGGCGCCACATCCTTCGACGGCGTAACAGCCTTCCCCGTGAGCTCCGCCGGCAAATCACCAGCAATACCCTTAAGGTAAAAAGTGTAGAACAGTTTTGTCGGATACACAAGCTGACGAAGCTTAACCTGTCCGTACGCACCTTCGAAGATTCCGGAGCCGCCAGTGACGGCGAGGAACGTGTCTTCGTAAGTCAAGTACTGTCCTTGTACGGACAAGTGGCCATAGTCACCGAAGTAGAAGCTGTAGTTAGCTTCGAATCGGTCACCGTTCTTCTCCGGAACATGTTGGATCAAGACGCAGAGACCGGCGGTGATCCCCACGCGCTTCTTGAGATCGCCGGTGTAGAGTTTGTTGGTGAAAGGGACGAGATCTCCGAGACAGAGCTCTGGTTTTTTCCCGAGTTTTAGAACTGCTGGACTGTTTCGATCTCCTTCGTTGAACTCGTACACGTTGAGTTCTTGGATTTTACCTAAATAAAGACTCGATTTTGTGAATTGGGGGCTATTTTGGTCTTTTTAACAAAAATTTGATCATTCAAACGTTGACTCGATCACAGTGTAGTAAAAGACAAGACAAAAGAGATGCGTAAACTTACTTGGTCTGGAGTTTGCGGTCTTGCCCCAATTCCAGAAGGAAGCTCGAGTGGGAGTGAGATTCTTGGGAGTAGATCTCGATCGGGAGGAGAAATCTGGACCGTTGGATGAGATTCCAAGGTTTTGGAAAGATCTGGAGAAACTCAGAAAAGAGCTTCGATGAAAGTGATGATTAGTGGAGAGATTGTTGAGAGTAGTCGTAGAGATGGATTCGAGAGACATCGTAGTCGCAGAAGAAGCCATTTTGATCAAGAAGACTTCAAAGTTTTAGAACTCTTTTTTATTTTTCGGTTTTAATGTTAAGAAAGACTTGAAACTTTAGTTTTGATTGATGGGAATGAGAATGAACGAGTCTATAAATATATATATGATGATGAAATTGCACGTGCGTATATATCGAAAGCGAGTTTCTAACGAAAGGTGGCTTTGAGGAATTTCGACTCGGTTTCCATATGGTCTCTAACCGCAAGCTAGAGGAATTATTGATGTATTTTAATTTAGTTTGTTGACTCAAAACCGAGTTATGGGTATGAAACTGTGAATGGTAAAAACCAAAATGTGGGATGATTGGTTAGTAAACATTTTCTTCTTTAGCCCACCAATTTTTGTATTTTTTTTTTTCATAATACATATATACACCATCACAGACACAACTCTTCCACATGAGCAAGCGATCAACTTCTGACATGTTAAAAGAGAAATGAGAATAGTTTGTCAAGTTGGTTAATTAGATCATTATTATATACTTTCAGAACTACAAATAGATCATCTTCCTAAATTAATGCTGGCCACTGCTACATAATCTCTACTTTATTTGTGTGTGTGTGCAACTGTGCAAATGCCATTGCTGCATAATTAACTCTATATTTTAGAAAAGAAAACAAGCAACCTCAAGTACTAAACCATACTAAAATAAACAGTAGATTGTAACAACGACTTTGACTTGTACCTTTGTCTTATCCTCACTCATTCCCACGTTTTCTTGATATCTCTTGATGTCTCCACGTTTGCTGAACTCCCACGTACCTTGAGATTCCAACCATATTATATACTTTCACATCTCCAACATCTCTCACCTCCTCATATTAATGGATTTAAGAAGTATTATGTTTCATCACCCTCTTCTTCGTTTTTGTGCAACAATGGCCAACGTTGACTATCAAAATAGCTTCATCTTAATCCTCCTCGTATGCCTCTTCTCAACCTTCTTTTTTCTCTTTGTCTACTTCTTCAAGAAACCAAACAATGTCTCTGATCTACCTCCCAGCCCTCCATCTTTTCCTATCATCGGCCATCTTCACCTTTTCTTCTCTACTTCACTCCACAAATCTTTTCAAAATCTCGCGTCTAAGTACGGACCTTTCCTGCATCTTCGTGTCTTCAGTCTCCCCTTCGTTCTCGTCTCCTCTGCCTCCATCACCTACAAGATCTTCAAGGACCACGACGTGAACATCTCCTCTCATGGTCCTGTTGGTCTCGATGATTGCCTCGTGTTTGGATCTTCTGGCTTCATCACTGCTCCCTATGGAGATTACTGGAAGTTCATGAAGAAGCTCATGACTATTAGTGTGCTCGGACACCAGGCTATGCAGCGGTCACAAGGCGTTCGTGTAGTTGAGGTAGAGCGGTTTTACAGAAACCTGTTTGATAAGGCGATGAAGAAAGAGAGCGTCGAGATCGGTGAGGAAGCAACGGGACTCGTTATGAGTATACTCGGAAAGATGTGCATGGGAAGATGCTTCTCAGAGGATAACAACGAGGAAAAAGTTTCCAAGATTAACGCCGAGTTCGCTGCCTTGACACAGAAGATTTTCTTGGCAAGAATGTTGTGTACGCCGCTTGAGAAGATCGGGATCTCACCATTCAAAAAGGAGGTAATGGATGCTTCAAACAGATATGAGGAACTCCTTGAAAGCATTATTGTGAAATACGAAGAGAAAGTGGACGAGAATGATGGTAATGAAGGTATGGACATATTGTTAGCGGCTTGTAGAGGCGAAAATGCCGAGTGTAAGATCACGAGGAAAAATCTCAAGGCCTTATTAGCGGTAAATGTCTATCTCTTCTTCTTGGTTCATGTAATATATTTTAAGATAGAAATTTTAGTATATTTAAATGTATTTACAATTTATCATTTTTTATTTGATTTTGCTTTATTTGGGTTGCGTTCACCTTTGAGTAGTTTGATATAGATATTTATATACTGTTTGAGTTATATAAATTTGGTTGTGTTTAGATTAATACTTTTCTCTTTGGTTCGAGTATTTTTGCACATTCCTAATCCAAACGAACACCATTACGTACGTTGGTAGTTTTTTTACTATTGTAGGAGCTCTTCTTTGGAGCCGGTGACACTTCTTCAACAACAACACGGTGGGCAATGGCTGAGATCATCAATAACCCTATGATCTTTGAGAGATTGAGAGAAGAAATTGACTCCGTGGTAGGAAAAACAAGGTTGATTCAAGAAACTGATCTACCAAAACTCCCTTACTTGGAAGCGGTCATCAAGGAATCTCTAAGATTGCATCCTCCGGGGGTTCTCTTGCCAAGGCAATTTGAACAAGGGTGCAAGATCAGAGGGTTCTACATACCTAAAGGCACAACACTTGTTATTAATGCTTATGCTGTTATGAGAGATCCTGATGCTTGGAAAGATCCTGATGAGTTTAAGCCAGAGAGGTTTCTAGGGCAAGAAGAAGAGAAAAAAGAGAATGTATTGAAGTTCCTACCTTTTGGCGCCGGAAGGAGAGGATGTCCTGGATCAAATCTTAGTTATATCTTTATAGGAACCGCAATTGGAGTGATGGAGCAGTGCTTTGACTGAAAAATTGAAGGAGAAAAGGTCAACATGGAAGAGGCTTCTGGAAGAGCTTTATTGGCGATGGCTCATCCTCTTAATAGCACTCCTCTTCCTCGTATCGGTCTTAATCTTTTACCCTCTCTCTAATATGCAGTTTTTCAGTTCGTGAATTTGTGTTTCATTTTTCACCATATTTCTAGGCATATGAGGGTTTGGAAGATTGTTATGTCAACAACATGCATTATGCAAATTTGAACTCGAAACAATGATGGCGTTAAGGCAAACCAGTAGACTACATGTCATGATTTGCATTAGTTAGTTATATAGTTATATATGCCTAATGTTTTGCATTCTTTTATGTTACCAAATGCAATTTTCCTATATACATATAATTTATAAATAAAAATGTATACCGTAGGATTTTTTACTTGTCAAATTACGTAGATCTTGATTATAAAATGGCCCTAGAAATTTTAAATGCGTAAAACTCCTCCACAGGATGTCAACTTCTGAGTTATGTATGACACGTGAAGGAGTAATGAGAATTCCGGATCTCCATAAGTTTAGCTATTCACGTTGGAATTACTTAAGAGAATGGTTAAGTTTATGCTTTCAGATCTCCAATATCCAGCCTTCCTATATATTATACGTCCTATAGGTTTCATCACTCTCTTCTTCCCTTTTGTGCAACAATAGCATTAGCAGCAATGGCTAGCGTTGACTATCAAAGTAGCTTCATCTTAATCCTCATATTGTCCTTTCTCTTTGTCTACTACTTCAAGAAACCAAAGAATGTCTCTAATCTACCTCCGAGCCCTCCTTCTCTTCCCTTCATCGGCCATCTTCACCTTCTCTTCTCTTGTTCAATCCACAAATCTTTCCAAAAAGTCTCATCCAAGTACGGACCTCTCCTCCATCTCCGCAACTTCAACGTCCCAGTCGTTCTCGTCTCTTCTGCCTCAGTGGTCTACGAGATCTTCAAGGACCACGACATGAACGTCTCCTCTCATGGTGCTATTGGCAATGATGACTGCATCGTGTTCGGATCTTCTGGTTTTATCCAAGCACCCTATGGAGACTACTGGAAGTTCATGAAGAAGATCATCATCACTAATATGCTTGGACCCCAGGCTCTAGAGCGGTTACGAGGCGTCCGTGCAGTTGAGGTAGAGCGGTTTTACAGAAATCTGCTTGATAAGGCGATGAACAAACAGAGCGTGGAGATTGGTGAGGAAGCGATGAGACTCGATAACAGTATCCTCGGCACGATGAGCATGGGAAGGGGTTTTTCCAAGGAGAACAATGAGGCTAAAGTCTCCAAGTTTACCGTCGAGTTTGCTTCCTTGGCTCAAAAGATTTTCTTGGCACAAATTCTGCGTAAGCCGCTTGAGAAGATCGGGATCTCACCATTCAAAAAGGAGATAATGGATGCTTCATACAGATTTGAGGAGCTCCTGGAAAGGATTATTGTGAAATGCGAAGAGCGAGTTTACGAGGATCAAGGTCCTGAAGTTATGGAGACATTGCTGGCAGCTTATCGAGGGGACAATGCCGAGTATAAGATCACAAGGAACCAAATAAAGGCGTTATTAGCGGTAAATGTCTATCCTCTCATTGGGTGTAAAAATATACTGAGGAGAATCAAAACTAGGCCAAAGGCATTCGGGCCTTTTTGGTTTAATTCAGTTTAGTTTATAGAGATATTCTTCGGTTTTGAAATCTTAAAAACTATAGATAATTGTTTTTGACACTATAAAATTCATTTAGTAGATGTCGAATCAATGAATTTGAAAGATAAGTCAAACAACATTGATCATGAAACTTTAAGAAAAAAAATCATATTTTACAAAATTTATAGGTATTAGAACCATATTTTTATATATAGGAGGTTGAAGAATATTAACATCCTATCATCTTATGAGTTTTGTATTTTCTTTACACTAGCTTAATCAGAGATTTTCTTTTTTTTTTTTTTTTTATAGTAATTATTAATTCATTAGAAAATTAATTTACAGAGGTTCTACTATATTAATTATTGCTTGCAATTGTATGTAGGAGCTTTTCTTTGGAGGAGGTGATACCTCTTCAACAACAACACGGTGGGCAATGGCAGAACTCATCAACAACCCTAAGGTCCTTGAGAGACTGAGAGAAGAAATTGATTCCATGATAGGGGAAACAAGGTTAATCCAGGAAACTGATCTACCAAAACTCCTTTATCTGCAAGCGGTCATCAAGGAATCTCTAAGATTGCATCCGCCAGGGGTTCTCTTGCCGAGGGAATTTGAACATGGATGTAATATAAGAGGGTTCTACATACCTAAGGGCACAAAACTTGTTATTAATGCTTATGCTATGATGAGAAATCCTAATTCTTGGAAAGATTCTGATGAATTTAAGCCAGAGAGGTTTCTGGGGAAAGAGGAAGAGAAAAGAGAGAAACTACTGAATTTCCTCCCTTTTGGCTTCGGAAGGAGAGCATGTCCAGGATCAAATCTAGGTTATATCTTAGTGGGAACCGCAATTGGAGTGATGGTGCAGTGCTTTGACTGGGATATCGGAGGAGAAAAGGTTAACATGGAAGAGGCTTCTAGAAGAGCTTTCTTGGCTATGGCGCATCCTCTTAAATGCACTCCTCTTCCTCGAATCCTGAACCCTTTACCCTCCCTTTAGTTTGCAAATTCTCAGTCGTGAAATTTAAGTTTTCACCATATTTCTAAACATATGGTTTAGAAGATTGTTATTGATTTTGATATATCTTTATTTGTTAACAATTTGCATCATACGAGTTTGAACCGAAATAGTGTGATACAACAATGGGGTTAACATAAACCTGTAGATTTGCATTTGTTATCTTACCGAATGCAATTTTCCTATATAATTTAACTTTATAATATATGTATAATGGTGATATGTTATTTGCTTACGATTGAATCACGTTAATATTTTCATGGTTTTGAATTTTTGCATTTTTTTTGTTGGGTAACAAAAAATATCTGTCGTATCTGCTTTCTTTTTAATCAAAACGAAGTGCGGAACATGCTGTTGAACCGACTGAACCATACTTCTTTCATTAAAATCAGTGAATCCCGCATGTAACACCATCAAATACGCAACTTTGTCACATGTGAAAGAGAAATGAGAATTTTGAGTCTCGAGAATCTGATCACTATTATATAAAAAGCGACTAATTTGATCACTATTATATACTTTTCAGATCTCCAGTATCTCACCTTCCTACATTAATGGTCAATGCATGGACATAAGAAGTCCTCAGTTTCATATCCCTCTTATTCGCTTTTAAGCAACAATGGCCAGCGTTGACTATCAAAGTAGCTTCATCTTGATCCTTATATCCCTCTTCTCAACCTTCTTCTTTCTCTTTGTCTACTTCTTCAAGAAACTAAAGAATGTCTTTGATCTACCTCCGAGTCCTCCTTCTCTTCCCATCATCGGTCATCTTCATCACCTTCTCTTCTCTACTTTAGTTGGGATAAAGACTACAACATTATTTAGTTATTCTTATTACTTAGATTTACTTGGCTTTCCCTATTTCTACTTTTCTTAGGCTTTATCTTTATTTAGCTTAGCTTCTACATTCTTCTACAATCTTTGTATAAATACTTTTTCTTATCATTCAATAAGATCAACACTTTCTTACTATTTCATGGTATCAGAGCAGGAATCGAATCGTGCATACTAAAATTTTTTCTTTCTACTACGATTTTTCTTTTTTCTTCTTGTTCTCTTCGACGAGCGTGGCACTCGACGGCGAGAATCAACAAAAGGTTATTCCTCAGGCAATCGTGCCCTCTCCCTATGCCCTCCACTCATCTGACAACCCTGGTGCTCTCATCACTTCCGTTCTACTACGTGGAGACTGTAACATCCGTAGCCCTTTTTCTGGAGTTTTGGGGGTTGCGTCGGGCGACGCAAGGTGTGCGTCGGTCGACGCAACAATTGCAAAATCAGACCCGGTTCAATTTAAGTGAAATTGGGCCCGGTTTAGCCCGGTTAAGGGCTGGAAACCCTGATTTTCGAGTTTAAAGAAGGAGCAGCCGTTTTTCTTCCTCACTTTTGTCCTTTTGCGAAAAGGAGAAGTTCATGAGGAGAGCTGAGCGATTTTGGAGAGATCTGTGGTGTTCTTGGGCGAATCTGAGGCGGATCTGTTGCTGTTCTTCTTTGTTTTCTCTTCCTTTTCCTTTTTCAATCCAATTCAAGGTGAGTGCATGACTGTAGGTCCGCAAATCACTAGATCTGGATTGATTGAATGTTGTTCTTGAGGTGTTCTTATGATATAAAGTTTATGTGATGATGTTTGGTTGATTCATGTGTTAATTTAGTGTTTCTGCGTGTTTTGTTGATATCTCTGTCAACCTCACGGACGTGCGTCGGTCGACGCAAAGTGGTCTGCGCGACACAAAGCTTGCGTCGGTCGACGCAACCAGTTCTGTCTGGTTCAATTGGAAATTGATTTCTGGTTCAAATTAAGTGATTTCTGGTTAAAATCTGGTTAAATGGTTTAATTCGAATTTAATTAATTAAATGATATTTAATTGATTAAGAGGCTTAAAATAATTATTTAAATTATTTTAAAATATGGAAAATTATTATTTAATTATGAGAATTATTTAATAATTGAGAAATGAGTTTTAATTATTAATAATTATTTAATAATTGGAAAATGGTATTTAATAATTATTGGAGTTTATAAATATTATTAAATATCTAGTAAATTGCGTAATTGGCCTGTAGGCAGAGTGATTGCCTCACTAAGTATTTATTAAATACTTACGCAACTCCATTCCAATGTGTTGCAGGTAAAAGATTTGTGTGATCGCGGAATCAAGGCTGAAGAGGGGGATGATAGGATGTTTATTGCTTTTATTTATTTTGCATTATTTTGCTAGACTTGTTTAATTATTATTTGCTTCCGCTGAACTGATTTATTTGTTATTGATATTTTTATATTTAATTTATTTTTAAAGACCTTCGCTAGAATTGATTAATATATATTAAAAAAAAAATGTTAGTTGTTTTATTTTGGTATCAGAGCCTAGACGGTTTTAGGACTGTTAGAATTGCTAGGCTTTGGTATCATCCCCTTCAGCTACAAGAGATTTCGCGGTGAGTTTATGTTTGTTTTGAGTTTTGGTTGTGTGTTCTAGTGTGATCTTTTCCGTGAGTGAGATGGACTGAGTAGCTAGAGGTTGTGGCGCGAGAGGGCGCGGTGCTAGAGGCCGTGGTGGCAGAGCTAGAGGCCGTGGAGGCCGGGGCCGAGATTGTGGACTTCCGGCGGATTCGAGAGAGAGTGTGGCGCCGAGTGTGGCGACTGCGTCGGTGACCCAGCCGGTATCCGTGGCGAGTGAGGTCAGTGTGGATGCCAGTGTTGGTTTGGGAGCGGGGCTCCGGGTGGGGGCAGTGCTCCGGCTCAGGGTCGTGATGACTTGGTGGTGGGTTTACTGACGCAGCTATTGACTCGATTTTCGCCAGTGGTCTCACATGGGGCTCCGGGACTACCTCCAGTGGCAGAGGTGCAGCAGAGGGCTGCGGGGTTTGTTCAGCCGCAGGCTGTGGGTTTGATGGTGCCGCCTTATTTGGATATGATGGGGCACATGCAGAGGATTGGTACGCCGTACTTTTAGGGCGGAGTTAGCCGAGAGGCGGCAGATTAGTGACGTTTGAGATTGGAGCGGAATTTCCAGTCTATCAGATGTTTGTTTAGTACCAGATGGAGTTAGCGGTTGATATACCCATATCTTTCATGTTTTTATCAAGGTTTTCACTATGTTTTTAATACAAATAATGTGGTTTTTAAGCCCAAGAGGTAGTTTTCTTGTATATTCTGGTTTTGAGCATCATTCAGGTCAAAATAGCAAAGAAGAGTCAAAATGGAGCAAAAAGAGTCAAATCACCAAGTTCCCAAGTCTAGAGCACCAAATCTACATTTCTCGCTAAAGACCAAACCGGAGCATCCGAAGTACGACCGCATATTCATGCCTTCCCGACGTCCAAAAGTCATGATTTCTTATATGGAAAGATAGATATTTGAGTCATGACCCGCGGCGAAGTGGAAAGAGGTCATTTGGATCACTCGTTGGACCGGAACTTATTTTCTACCAAGACATGTCCGACGAGCGCCTAAGTAGAGCCCATGGAGACTTTGATGGATCAAGAGGCCCGAGATACCGCGCCCAAGGCCTTGGCTCATCTTGACACTAGCATAACTCAATCCAGAAGCTTCCATTGGCCTGAACGCGGCCCATTCAAGAACTTGGAGAGCAAGCTCAAGCGGCTAAAGAGAAATGGAAACTTTCCTCTTCTGCGCGCGCTCAACTTTGCCGACCTAGACCCGCTCTCTACCTATATATACTTGCTTTTAGCCTCTTGTAATAAGAATCACCAGCCGCATAACAAGAAACACTTATTCAATAAAGTTCGGAGCCACTTAGGTGGTCTCCTTCTTCTTTCTTTTCTTCTTTTGCATTTGTATATAGCTTGCATGTTTCAATTTATATAGTCTAGAAGTAGAGATTTCTCCCTAAGGGTGAGGCGTGGTTTAGTCTATATTCCGCCGCCTCTCTCTCTAAGGATTCATGAGACTTCATCTACTATCTAAGACTCATTGTTGAATTATGGATCCTTCCAATGAGGACGTGATATAATGGCCATCGAATCGATTGTTAAAAGGGGAAACCCTATGGTTCTCCATCTTTATTTATGCTTAATGCTTGTTGCTAGAGTAGCTAACTAGTGACTTGATTTTAGGTTGATATACTCTCCAAAAGCTTGTTATATCTCCGGACATAATATTTGATGGGCAAATCGTTTTAGGCTACGAAAGTAGACCTAAAGAGTTTTGTGAACAATCATTACTTGGATGTAATGCATGTCTCACTCTACAATGACCAACGAAAGCTGAGCCCATTGGTTTAAGAGACATAGGGGATTGGAACCACGAAAGTGGAATAATCCTTCCTTAGTGTTTTGAGTTCAAAAGAATCGGATTTTAACAAACTTTTCAATCGACTTGGCTCATGTTTTCAAAAGAGTTTTCAATAGTTCAATAATGTTGCTTGTATAGAATTGCATTGTTATTTCTTTTGCGTGTTCTAAACAAACACAAACCCTTGCATCTTTTGATTTAGCTTAGTCATTTAAACTCTATGATTATGTAATGTGTGAAATCCAATCCCTTGTGGTTCGACCCCTAAATACTACAATTATATGTTGTGCACTTGCAACACTAGTTGTCTTAGGGAATTATTACTTGTACTCATCCCATAGATGCCGCATCAAGTTTTTGGCGCCGTTGCCGGGGATTGCATCATAAACACTTGCATAGTCTTGTTTAAAACTAAGTCTAGATCTTGGTATTTTCGAATACTAACTTTTTCTTTTAAATCTTGTGTTTATAGGTACTTGGAGATGAATCACAACACCAACATCCACTTTGGGAACCGGACACTGATCCCACACGATCTCCACGGCCGGAGTTACCAAGACCCAGCCGTAAGCATCGTGCCACATCCGTTCCCTCCCAACCGCGCTCATCCGACGTTTGAAGGACCTAGCCGAGACGAGCATCATTACCATCATCATCAAAACCGACCTCCGGTTTATCATCAACCACCTAGACCAGTGTTGCATTCACACCACGACCATGTTCTCAATAGGCGGAGAGATAGCCATTTCGATGCCGTGCTTGAGGGTTTCATGGAGAGCCAAAGAAAACTAGCCGCGACATTGAGACAAAGCTAGAGTTCACGCGATACGAACTAGATGGAAGACTTGGAGAACTCTCTACCCAAATAGAGAGAGTAGAGTCAAGATGCTTGGACATGGAGGAAGATTTGAAGAAGCAAGGCGAGGCCATTGAAGACAATAGGAGAGCGATACACTTTACCAAAGTTTCTACCAAGGAGATGGACAATCACTTAGATGAGAAGATCTCAAGTCTTGATAACAACCTCGATGGCACCACCAAGAGTCTCAATTCAATAACAGCAGTAGCTCATCAAGCTAAGAGGGAGGTAGCCGAAGTAACCCTAAAGGAGAGGCAATGTTACTCGACGATGCTTACATTGGTGGAAGGGCAAAAACAAGTGAAGGCACAAATCCGAGATTTACACATCTCTCTAGACAAGAGGAGCCAAGATATTCAAAGAAGAGCTAGAGGGCTTGAAGACAAAGTAGATGGAGTCTCCAAGGAAGTCAAGGATTTAACCACTCGCTTAGCCAACTTGGAAGAGAAGGTCTTGACCGAGGCAAAGACGACCGTTCCTAAGCACAACCATGCCGCGCCCGTCTTTACTATAAGAGAGACCGACCCAAGAGTGATTTGGGATGAAGAAGAAAGTAGAGCTGATCAAGAAAGAGCCACAAGGCTAACCACTGGAACAAGAGAGAAGATAGCACCAAAAGGAAGAACCCTTACTCAAAGGTCTTCACAACCGCCTCCCACCAAGGAGAAGAGGAAGACAAGATCATCACTTGAAGAGATCATAGATGATTTCAACTTTATGGCGAGGAGATTCCCTTATGGTGTGCCGTTTGATAATGCTTGCAACAAGAGTCCATTCATGCAAGACCTAGCTTGGACACAAGATTGGAGTCTAGCTGAATTGGAAAAGATGTACGAGGAAGCAAGAAAGGGGATGCCTAAACCTAGGTTTCTACACAAGCTTCATGACCCAGGTTACTTCCTTATACATTTCTCTATCAATGGAAGCTACTTTGATGATGCTCTTTGCGATTCCGGTTCTAGTGTGAACCTTATGCCGGCCGAGATAGCCAAGAAGTTGGGATTGATCAATTCAATTGTGAAATCTCGAATGGATTTAAAGCTAGCTGATTCATCATTGACCGAACCACTTGGAGAGGTTAAAGACATTCAGCTTGATTTTGGAGGCTGCATAGTTCCAGCCAACTTCTATGTAGTAACCATGAAGGATCCGGAGGACTTAAAGCTTTTGCTTGGAAGATCATTCCTAGCCACAGCTGGAGCGATCATGGATTGGCCTAATAGAAGAATCTCTCTAGCCAATGTTGACAAGGACACCTTCTACGATGCTGCACCTCCCGGTTTCTCATCCAAGCGATTTCGCTACACAAGTGGAGGAGAGTGCTCACAAGTAAGAGGAGAGTCGCATGGCTACTTGATCAAGGAAGTTCTACAGGACAAGATGCACTTGGAATCATCAGGCAACAGGAAGTTCTTGGAGCCACCAATCCTACCTAACTAAGAACACAAAGGAGTCGAGCTACAAAGACTTAAAACAAGCGCTTGTGGGAGGCAACCCACATTTTCTTATCCCTTCCTCTTTTTATTTTTGTTTTTATTTTTATAACTACTTATTTGTTCTATTTATAACTCTTAAATTTTTGAGAGTTTAATAAATTTTACAAAAATAAAATAAAAAGTGTTTTAGGAAAAAGTACCAAAAAGGAGGCTTACATGAAAAATGCATTGGAAAAGCTACATCGCCACCAATCGGCCAAGGATCAACCATCTTTGGTCTAAGTGTCAAGCATTGAGTCTAGTTTGAGTCCCACCCAAGTCCCACCCATGTTTCAAGAAGCAAAGAATCCAAGAAGGGCCGCGGCACAACAAAATCCGGCCATTGGAACACTATTGCACAAGGCCAAGGTAAGAATCTCTCCCATTCAAATGTCATTTCTCAAAAACATTATCTCTACTTATTTCACACATGAACACTACTTAGATCTCTGATCAAGATCCCAAGTACATGTAGTGTCACGATCAAGTCATTGATTGGGAAGTTCAAATAACTTGAGCATCTCAATCATTGACAGATTTAACAAAGAGTTACTAGTGTTTTTCAGATATAAACATGACAGGAAAAACCGGTTCAAAATATCAACAAACATGGCGCGCAAGGAGCCACAACCGGCCAAAGGAGGATTTACATGCCAAACATGAGAGATGAGGGAAATCCAACCACAATTCAATCCAGGAGGGATAGAAAAACAGTTCGGTCGAAGCAGAACTCAATTGGCCCGAGTAAAAAAGGAGATATCACATTCACAATCACTCTCTCGGCCAGAATCGACGAACCAAGCGACAATGCTCGACCATCTCCCAAACGGCACGACCGAAGTCCACCAAACTTCACAGGCGACCTCAAAACATCATTTTGGTCGGCAAATCCAAAAGATAGGACGAGAAAAAGTGCCTGCTACGTGAGATAGACGAGGAAGCTCAATACGGCCGACGGCGATGCATAGAATGGCCGACGAACTCAAAACCTCAAGAAGGCGCGAACACCGGTGGAAACTGATCCTCTGGAGTCCAAAAAACACCAAGGAAGAAGAAAGGAAGGAGACGATCGAACAGAATAAGAGATGGCCAAAGGAATCACATCCCACGCCATTGGCGCGCACACGAAAGATCTCCGAATCCACACGTTCAAATCGCCTCAAACTTCACAAGGAGCCACAAAACATAAGGTTGGTCGATGAAATTCATTTCAGTACAATGAATTCCTTACAATTCAAGAGATGGCCGATGGAGCGAAATTTGGCCGATCGCGAGCAAGTAAAATGGCCGACAATCCAAATCACGGCATTTACCGCGGCCACCGGCTCAAATCACCTCAATCAAGCATCCACATCGCATCTAAAGAAGAAAATCCAGATTGGAACGAGCAGAATTGGAGAAGACCGAAGGAAGACGTTCCCGGAGCCAATTTGAAAATTTTTCAAAGGAGATCTCAAACCACTCGTTCAAACGACCCCAAACTTCACCAGTCGCCATATTATACAATATTGGTCGACGAAATTTCAAGATAGGTCGAGGAAATCTTCACGGTTCGAGCTGTAGTCCATACCATCACCATCCGGTCGACCAAAACGGACCAGTCTCGGCCAAAAAGGCGAAAAACAGAATCCAAGGGAGAATTGTCACCTACGTTGTACGGAAACGCTGATCAATGTGCGTTTCGCGTTTCGAAACGTTTCGGAAACGGAAACGTTACGGAAACGCGACGGAAACGCATGGAAACGCGTTTTGTGAAATATTATGTTTGGAAACGTGGTGGAAACGTCCGATTCCAAAACGGAAACGCGACGGAAACCTGTTTTCTGTTCGAAAACGCAGTCTCTGCTACTGCCTTAGTCGTGTGTAAAGCCCCATCAACAAAAAAGTCGGAGAATTTTGAGAATTTGAGTTGTATTTGATATTTTAGTATGTGATAGGTTCATATCGGTTAGATTCATAAGTTTAATGAAGAAAATCGACTAAAAACGTCAAAAAAATAGATGTTTGATGTGATAATGGTTGGAGGTGGCCGCCAAAATTAGGGTTGCAGAGAAGCAGATGATGTCGGGGAGAAGAGATTATCGAAATGACAATTATACCCTCCATTTATAATAATTGAAACAAGAACCAAAATGTACAACCCAAGACTCAAACTCATAACAAGCTGCAACAATACAACAACACTATCCGCTGAACCAAGGAAATTTATTAATCATTTTCCTCTAACTATAATATATATACCTATATGGACGTTATAATAACCACAAAATAAATCTCCTATTATCCTTGCATCATAATTGATTTGGACTTTGTTAAATATTTTATTGGTTTTATCTCAATTTATAATATTTTATTTAATATATATATGCAAACGTTTCCAAAACGTTTCCATTCTTATATTTTTCAAAAATGACGTTTCCCGTTTCCGAAACGTTTCGCTTCCACGTTTCACGTTTCTGTTTCCATGCAGCTTAGATTGTCACATTCATCCAACCAAATCCAACAGCTATGATGTTTGCACCAGTCAGTCATTCCTGGAAGCAACTACAAGCGCACAACCGATCTTCACATCAAAGGCCAAAAATTTGGGTACAATTTTCTACAAACTCTAACTTTTCCATTCTATTTATCATTACCTCTCTTAATTGGATTTTTCTTACACCGAGACGGTGCAAGTTAAGTCTGGGGGGATTACTAACAAGTTTGTTCTTTTTGCTTTTCATTGAGTCGTTTTTATTGAGTCAAAATTTTGTCGAGAATTATGACCTTATCTTGGATCTAACCATGTTGTACTAATGTTTAAGTGACCATTGAGCAGTTCTTGGCAATACATCTTACCACAGGTGCACTATGAGTTGATCGATCTACCAAAAACGCCCACATCTCTAAGACTTGAGAAGGATCCATCTTTGACTCCGCCCTTAATGAACTTAATCTTCTCAGCTAGGGGCTTGGCATACAAATGGCATGATTCCTCATCCTCTCCATCAAATGAAAAAGTCTTAGTGAGTTCGTGCTTCCCTCTCTCTCCCCTTCAAATTTAAAGAAAAAGCGTAAGGTCCAAGTAACCGGGGATTCGGTGGCAAACACCATCAATACTCGCGTCTATGGAAGGCCTATGAATCCAAGCAACCGGGGATTCGGTGGCAAACACCATCAATACTCGCGTCTGTGGAAGATCCAAGCAAAACCTCTATAATAAAGAGAAGGAGTTGAATAAAAAAATACTTCGCTACCCTAAAAAAGGGATGAATCAACTCAAAGAAGTGAGAAGAGAGAGAGGAGAAACATGGAGTAAAAAGACAAGTGCCAAAACAAGGGGATGAGTAAGAGTCTAAAGCCGGCTGATCGATACTCCCTAGTTGAGACCACACCTTTAGAAATGAAAGGAGTCAAGGGTGGCGAATTGGATTGTCCAAAGAGAGGTGGACCGCTTTGGAAAAATCGCAAAACTCATGGTATGTACTTTGTTCTTAATTCAAAATTTGCCAACTTTCATGTGGATTACTAAAACAAGTCAATTTGGATTTCCAAAAGATTTGAGAGTTCTCACGTTTTCAAACCTCTTTTCCTCTTAGTTTGCTTGGGGACAAGCAAAAGGCTAAGTCTGGGGGAGTTGATATACCATATCTTTCATGTTTTTATCAAGGTTTTCACTATGTTTTTAATACAAATAATGTGGTTTTTAAGCCCAAGAGGTAGTTTTCTTGTATATTCTGGTTTTGAGCATCATTCAGGTCAAAATAGCAAAGAAGAGTCCAAAATGGAGCAAAAAGAGTCAAATCACCAAGTTCCCAAGTCTAGAGCACCAAAATACATTTCTCGCTAAAGACCAAACCGGAGCATCCGAAGTACGACCGCATATTCATGCCTTCCCGACGTCCAAAAGTCATGATTCTTATATGGAAAGATAGATATTTGAGTCATGACCCGCGGCGAAGTGGAAAGAGGTCATTTGGATCACTCGTTGGACCGGAACTTATTTTCTACCAAGACATGTCCGACGAGCGCCTAAGTAGAGCCCATGGAGACTTTGATGGATCAAGAGGCCCGCGATACCGCGCCCAAGGCCTTGGCTCATCTTGACACTAGCATAACTCAATCCAGAAGCTTCCATTGGCCTGAACGCGGCCCATTCAAGAACTTGGAGAGCAAGCTCAAGCGGCTAAAGAGAAATGGAAACTTTCCTCTTCTGCGCGCGCTCAACTTTGCCGACCTAGACCCGCTCTCTACCTATATATACTTGCTTTTAGCCTCTTGTAATAAGAATCACCAGCCGCATAACAAGAAACACTTATTCAATAAAGTTCGGAGCCACTTAGGTGGTCTCCTTCTTCTTTCTTTTCTTCTTTTGCATTTGTATATAGCTTGCATGTTTCAATTTATATAGTCTAGAAGTAGAGATTTCTCCCTAAGGGTGAGGCGTGGTTTAGTCTATATTCCGCCGCCTCTCTCTCTAAGGATTCATGAGACTTCATCTACTATCTAAGACTCATTGTTGAATTATGGATCCTTCCAATGAGGACGTGATATAATGGCCATCGAAAATCGATTGTTAAAAGGGGAAACCCTATGGTTCTCCATCTTTATTTATGCTTAATGCCTGTTGCTAGAGTAGCTAACTAGTGACTTGATTTTAGGTTGATATACTCTCCAAAAGCTTGTTATATCTCCGGATATAGTATTTGATGGGCAAATCGTTTTAGGCTACGAAAGTAGACCTAAAGAGTTTTGTGAACAATCATTACTTGGATGTAATGCATGTCTCACTCTACAATGACCAACGAAAGCTGAGCCCATTGGTTTAAGAGACATAGGGGATTGGAACCACGAAAGTGGAATAATCCTTCCTTAGTGTTTTGAGTTCAAAAGAATCGGATTTTAACAAACTTTTCAATCGACTTGGCTCATGTTTTCAAAAGAGTTTTCAATAGTTCAATAATGTTGCTTGTATAGAATTGCATTGTTATTTCTTTTGCGTGTTCTAAACAAACACAAACCCTTGCATCTTTTGATTTAGCTTAGTCATTTAAACTCTATGATTATGTAATGTGTGAAATCCAATCCCTTGTGGTTCGACCCCTAAATACTACAATTATATGTTGTGCACTTGCAACACTAGTTGTCTTAGGGAATTATTACTTGTACTCATCCCATAGATGCCGCGATCAGCGGTCCACTATCTGAGTGGTGACGCGCATTTGTGGTGGTTGTAGTTTGTTCTTTTTGTCTGTGATAGAATTGTGGAGGTTCTCAACGCAATTGAATGTGTAGGGACCTTGTTAGTGGGCGGTTTTGAGTCCCACGTTTTATTCGACTCTGGAGCATCGAATTGCTTCATTACACCGGAGCGTGCCGAGAAGAGTGGCATCCGGAGTAGCGCGGGCGAGAGCGCGGGCATGGTCAAGGTGGCGGGAGGTGGATTCTTGTCTACTTTGGGCCGTGCTAGAGGAGTCGAGATCGAGATTGCGGGGCAGTCAATGCCAGCAGACTTAGTCATCAGTCCGGTGGAGCTGTATGACGTTATTCTCGGGATGGACTGGTTGTCACACTACAGAGTTCATCTGGATTGCTACAGAGGTAGAGTGGTCTTCGAGCGAGATGCAGGGAGGTTGGTTTATCAGGGAGTGAGACCGACTTCCGGGAGTATTGTGATATCTGCTATTCAGGCCGAGCAGTTGTTAGAGCGGGGCTGTGAGGCGTATCTGGCGACGATTTCTATGTCTGAGTCAGGAGCTGGAGTTGTTATGGGAGATATTGAGGTTGTCCAGGATTTTGAGGATGTCTTTCAGTCACTGAAGGGATTACCACCATCTCGGTCTGATCCTTTCACGATTGAGTTAGAGCCGGGGACAGCACCGATATCGAAGACGCCTTACAGGATGGCGCCAGCTGAGTTGGCAGAGCTGAAGAAGCAGATAGAGGACCTTTTGTCTAAGGGGTTCATTCGACCAAGTGTTTCACCGTGGGGAGCACCGGTGTTGTTTGTGAAGAAGAAGGATGGCAGTTTCAGACTTTGTATCGATTACAGAGGTCTTAACCGAGTCACTGTGAAGAACAGGTACCCACTCCCGAGGATTGATGAGTTGTTGGATCAGTTGAGGGGTGCTACTTGGTTCTCCAAGATTGACTTGGCATCGGGGTATCATCAGATCCCGATAGATGAGGCAGATGTCAGGAAGACTGCTTTCAGGACGCGTTATGGGCATTTTGAGTTTGTGGTTATGCCTTTCGGTTTGACTAACGCGCCGGCAGCCTTCATGAGATTGATGAACGACGTGTTCAGGGAGTATTTGGACGTGTTCGTCATCATTTTCATTGATGATATTCTGGTATACTCGAGGAGTCAGGAGGAGCATGCGACTCACTTGAGGTTGGTTCTGGAGAAGCTTCGGGAGCAGAAGCTTTTTGCTAAGTTGAGCAAGTGCAGTTTCTGGCAGCGAGAGATGGGATTTCTTGGCCACATTGTTTCTGCAGAGGGAGTTTCTGTGGATCCGGCTAAGATTGAGGCTATCAGAGATTGGCCTAGACCTAGTAGTGCCACCGAGATCAGGAGTTTTCTGGGTTTGGCAGGATACTACAGGAGGTTCGTCAAGGGGTTTGCTACCATGGCGCAGCCGATGACGAAGTTGACCGGGAAGGATGTCCCGTTTGTTTGGTCAGCTGAGTGTGAGGAGAGCTTTAGTCAGCTCAAGGAGATGTTGACTACTACACCAGTGTTGGCGTTACCCGAGCCAGGGAAGCCTTACATGGTGTATACAGATGCTTCAGGCATTGGTCTTGGTTGTGTGCTGATGCAGGAGGGCAGAGTGATAGCATATGCTTCGAGACAGTGGCAGGGCAGTGAGCGTAACCGTCCTACACATGACTTAGAGTTGGGAGCAGTGATCTTCGCGTTGAAGATTTGGAGGTCTTACTTGCTGGGTGAGACAGTACAGGTCTTCACGGATCACAAGAGTTTGCAGCATATCTTCACTCAGCCGATGATGAACGCGAGACAGACGCGCTGGGTTGAGTTCTTGGCGGACTATCAGGTGAGCATTAACTACCATCCGGGCAAGGCTAACCTAGTGGCGGACGCGTTGAGTAGACGGAGGTATGATTCCGCAGTTGAGCGAGATGTGGAGTCTCTAGTTGGCGAGATCAGTACCTTGCGTTTGTGTGCCATTTCGCAGGAGCCTTTGGGTTTAGAGGCAGTGGATCAGGCGGATCTACTTAGCAGGATCAGAGTTGCTCAGCAGAGTGATCAGAGTTTGCTGGATGCGACGAGAGTGACTGGTTCTGAGTATGAGGTCTCTGCGAATGGGACTATCTTGGTTCGTGGGCGAGTTTGTGTGCCTAAGGATGTGGAGTTGAGACATCAGATTTTGGGAGAGGCTCACGCGAGCAAGTTTTCCATTCATCCGGGAGCGACCAAGATGTACCATGACCTCAAGAGGTACTATCATTGGGTCGGGATGAAGAGGGATGTAGCAGACTGGGTTGCGAAGTGCAACACTTGTGCCTTGGTGAAGGCAGAGCATCAGGTTCCGGGTGGTCTTTTGCAGAGTTTACCCATTCCAGAGTGGAAGTGGGACAGGATTACGATGGATTTCGTGGTTGGACTACCTGTTTCGAGGACTTTCGATGCTATTGGGTGATTGTGGATCGGTTGACTAAGTCCGCACATTTCTTGGCCATCAAGAAGACAGATGGAGCTGCTGTCTTGGCTAGGAAGTTTGTGCGAGAGATTGTGAGGCTGCATGGAGTGCCAGCTAGTATTGTGTCAGACCGTGATCCCAGATTCACTTCAGAGCAGGCAGAGATGGGCACTAAGGTGCATTTGAGTACAGCTTATCATCCGCAGACAGATGGTCAGTCAGAGAGGACTATTCAGACTTGGAGGATTTGCTGAGGATGTGTGTGTTGGATTGGGGTGGCCATTGGGCAGATCACCTGAGCTTAGTTGAGTTTGCATACAACAACAGCTTTCAGGCGAGTATTGGCATGGCTCCATTTGAGGCTTTGTATGGGAGGCCATGTAGGACACCCCTATGCTGGACCCAAGTGGGGGAGCGCAGCATGTATGGAGCTACTTATGTTCAGGAGACGACAGAGAAGGTCGTGTTGTGAGGCTGAACATGAAGGAGGCTCAGGACAGGCAGAAGAGTTATGCAGATAGACGCAGACGAGAGCTTGAGTTTCAGGTGGGAGATAGAGTTTATCTCAAGATGGCTATGTTGAGGGGTCCTAACAGATCCATAGCAGAGAACAAGCTGAGTCCGCGATTTATGGGTCCGTTTCCAGTAGTGGAGCGAGTTGGGCCATTGGCTTACAGGCTGGAGTTGCCTGAGATTATGAAAGCCTTTCACAAGGTTTTTCATGTGTCGATGCTGAGGAAGTGTCTTCACCCTACAGAGGAGTTAGTGGCTAGGATTCCAGAGGATCTTCAGCCAGATTTGACAGTGCCGGCAGTGCCTGTGAGGATTTTAGAGAGGAGGGAAAAGGTTCTGAGGAACAAGAGGATTCCCTTACTGAGGATTTTGTGGGATTGCAGTGGTTCTACAGAGGAGACTTGGGAGCCAGAGGCAAAGATGAAGTTGAAGTTCAGGAAGTGGTTCGACAAGCAGGTCGAGGAGTGAGCTTATTTCATCTTTGTAGCCCAGTTGTTTTTTTTGGCTTTGGTGTTATTGTATTTTCGTTTTGGTTGTAACGATATACATTTTGGAGTTTTAATGAGATGCAGTTTTCCTCATTTTGCCTTGTGTTGTGAAATGGTATTCGGATGTTACACATGTTTGACCAGTTTTTGGTTGTGAGACGGTCTAATCTTATGGTTATAGACATTTTCCGGAATTTTTACTCTAAGGATTGCGATCCTGAATAACTCATCATGTTTTTGGAGACTTCGTTCTCTGGCAGACTCTCTGGGTGCAAGTAGGCCTCAGTTGAGTGTAGCTTATCTGGGTGCAAGTAGGCCTCAGTATAAGCAGTTAGTTCATCTGGGTGCAAGTGGGCCTCAGTATGGAGTTTCGGGTTCGTCTGGGTGCAAGTGGGCCTCAGTGCGGACCGGTGTGGACTTGTCTGGGTGCAAGTGGGCCTCAGTACAAGTTGTTTGTTTGTTGGATGATGAGTTAGGAGTGAAATTTTCTTGGAATGTGCTTATGACATAGGATTTGACATGTCTCGGGGATCAGGTGAGGATCTCCAGTGTTGCGGCCTTGCGAGGTCGGGTTTTTGTGGTCTTTGTGACGTTTGTTGGGATTCGAGGTCGAATCCAGTTTAGTGGGGAGAGTTGTAACATCCGTAGCCCTTTTTTGAGTTTTGGGGGTTGCGTCGGGCGAGCAAGGTGTGCGTCGGTCGACGCAAGAATTGCAAAATCAGACCCGGTTCAATTTAAGTGAAATTGGGCCCGGTTTAGCCCGGTTAAGGGCTGGAAACCCTGATTTTCGAGTTTAAAAGGAGCAGCCGTTTTTCTTCCTCACTTTTGTCCTTTTGCGAAAAGGAGAAGTTCATGAGGAGAGCTGGGCGATTTTGGAGAGATCTGTGGTGTTCTTGGGCGAATCTGAGGCGGATCTGTTGCTTTCTTCTTTGTTTTCTCTTCCTTTTCCTTTTTCAATCCAATTCAAGGTGAGTGCATGACTGTAGGTCCGCAAATCACTAGATCTGGATTGATTGAATGTTGTTCTTGAGGTGTTCTTATGATATAAGGTTTATGTGATGATGTTTGGTTGATTCTGTGTTAATTCGGTGTTTCTGCGTGTTTTGTTGATATCTCTGTCAACCTGACGGACGTGCGTCGGGCGACGCAAAGTGGTCTGCGTCTGGCGACGCAAAGCTTGCGTCGGTCGACGCAGCCGGTTCTGTCTGGTTCAATTGGAAATTGATTTCTGGTTCAAATTAAGTGATTCTGGTTAAAATCTGGTTAAATGGTTTAATTCGAATTTAATTAATTAAATGATATTTAATTGATTAAGAGGCTTAAAATAAATTATTTTAAAATATGGAAAATTATTATTTAATTATGAGAATTATTTAATAATTGAGAAATGAGTTTTAATTATTAATAATTATTTAATAATTGGAAAATGGTATTTAATAATTATTGGAGTTTATAAATATTATTAAATATCTAGTAAATTGCGTAATTGGCAGAGTGATTGCCTCACTAAGTATTTATTAAATACTTACGCAACTCCATTCCAATGTGTTGCAGGTAAAAGATTTGTGTGATCGCGGAATCAAGGCTGAAGAGGGGGATGATAGGATGTTTATTGCTTTTATTTATTTTGCATTGTTTTGCTAGACTTGTTTAATTATTATTTGCTTCCGCTGAACTGATTTATTTGTTTATTGATATTTCTTTATTTAATTTATTTTTAAATACCTTCGCTAGAATTGATTAATATTTATTATAAAAAAAATGTTGGTTGTTTTACTCCGAATGGGCAACGGAATTGTCCAATTCCTTGCAAGCTAAGCAAAAGTTAGGGTTCATTGATGGATCGGTTCTCAAACCAGAAACCGAACCTGACCTAGCTAAGTGGTTAGCTTGTAACTCCATGATCATTGGATGGATCCGCACATCTATTGATCCGAAGATTCGTTCTACTGTTACTTTCGTTCCTGAAGCTTCCACACTTTGGGATAATCTAGAGAAACGATTCTCTGTTCAAAACGGCGTACGCATCCATACTCTCCGGGATGAGATTGCCATGTGTAGTTACGATAGTCAAAGTGTTCTTGAATACTTTGGTCGTCTTACTAAACTTTAGGAAGAGCTTGACACCATTAAAACGTCTCGCTCTTGTATGTGTGAAGCATCTGCTGATATCGCCAAGGAACGGGAAGACGTGAGGGTTCACAAGTTCTTGTTTGGACTTGATGAATCTCGATTTCGCAACATACGTTCTCAGATCATCGATGAAGATCCACTACCTGACATGAACAACGTCTACTCTCGTGTGATTCGTGAGGAACAACACAATCACAAGGCTCGTGCTCAAGAAGTAAAGATGGAAACGGCGATAGGTTTCACCGTTCAATCGGAACTTCTGAAGGAAGAAACTGCTCGTGCTGCTGCTGCTGTGTTTCGAACTCGAGATCCAAATCGCTTTTGCACCCACTGTTCTCGTAAAGGTCATGACAATTCAGAATGTTTTCTACTTCATGGCTATCCGGACTGGTGGTATGAGCAACAACAACATGGTGCTCAAAGTCAACGTGGACGTGGTGGTCGCACTTCCAACACTAGCTCTCGCGGTCGTGGTCGAGGGAACATGACTCGTGCGAACAACACTACTGCCTCCTCGACTGTTGGTTGGAGTCCTGAACAGCTTGCTCAACTCATCCAGCTCCTTCAAACTCCTCGTTCTACCATCACATCTGAGAAACTCACGGGTAATCCAGCTCATGGTGATGTGATCATCGATACCGGTGCTTCACATCATATGACTGGGAATTTATCTATTATTTTCGATGTTGTTGATATTACTCCATCGTCGGTTATTTTTCCTGATGGAAATACATCTCGTGCTGTGAAAAGTGGGAAACTTACTTTAAGCCGCGACTACTACTTGTCCGATATTCTATACATTCCATATTTCAACTGCACATTGATCTCTGTTTCAAGATTGTTAAAACAGACCGGTTGTATTACAATTTTTACTGATACATTATGTGTCTTGCATGACCGTTTTACGAGGACCATGATTGGAACGGGTGAAGAACGGGGTTTATTATTTCACTGGAGTCTCTACTGCACGAGTACATAGGACTGATTCAAAGAAGCTCTCTCAATCGGAACTGTGGCATTGGAGGCTTGGACATCCTTCATATCGCATCTTATCTTCTTTACCGACTTTACACAACTTTTCTTTTGATTCTGATCAAGCTAGTGCTTGTGAGATTTGTTTTCGTGCTAAGCAATCACGAGGTGTTTTTCGTGATAGTTCTAATAAAGCTTCAGAACCGTTTTCGCTTATTCACTGTGATGTTTGGGGTCCGTATTGTACATTGTCTTCGTGTGGTGCGGCTTACTTTCTCACGGTCGTTGATGACTACTCTCGTGCTGTCTGGACTTACTTAATATTAGAAAAATCGAAGGTTGCTAATCTACTCAAGGAGTTCTTTGCACACACAGAGAGACAGTTTGGTACAAAGGTCAAGAAAATTCGCACGGATAATAGAACAGAATTTATGGTTTTGTCTTCATCTTCCGTGAACAAGGTATCGAACACCAGACTTCGTGTGTGGACACTCCTCAGCAAAACGGACGGGTTGAAAGAAAACATCGCCACATACTTAATGTTGCTCGTGCGTGTCTCTTTCAAGCTCGTCTTCCGGTTTCGTTTTAGGGAGAAAGCGTTCTGACGGCTGCTCATTTAATTAACTACACTCCAACGAAGGTCCTTGATGGCAAGTCTCTATATGAAGTTTTGTTTGGCGCTCCACCGGCTTATGATCAACTACGTGTCTTTGGTTGCTTGTGCTTTCCTCATTGCAGGTCTCGTGACAAGGACAAGTTTGGTGATCGTAGTCGCCGGTGTATCTTCGTGGGTTACCCTTACGGAAAGAAAGCTTGGTTGCTATATGATTTAGAATCCAATGAGTTCCTCTCAAGTCGTGACGTCGTTTTCTCTGAAGATGTTTTCCCGGGTGTTGATAATCCGAACTATGTCTCACCTCCTCTGAATACTTATGACCCGACTATTGATGACTGGCTTCTCCTGAATGTCATAACGAGTGAATCATCACCGGTTCCCTCTCCACATCCTCCTACTACTTTGGTCTCGGTTGATACTCCATCACCGTCATCTCCACTAGCTACTCCATCTGCTTCTCCTAATGATGCAACTGTGTCTTCTCCTGGTTTACCCGAGATTTTGGGAAAAGGTTTACGTCTGAAGACTCCATCTGTTCTACTCAAAGACTACATCACTCACTCTGCTCATCTCGATAATAATAAACCCATTCACGTTCTCTCCTCGCCTGCCCGTGGTCCTCCGCAAACGTCCTCAGGTAACATCATGTATCCCATTGCAAACTATGTCTCTGACTCTCATTTTTCTGCTTCCCATCGAGCTTTTGTCGCAGCTATATTGTCATCTCATCCACATACGCACTATAGTGAAGCTGTTAAAGAAAAAGTTTGGAGAGATGCTATGACAAAAGAAATCGATGCTCTTGATGAAAGCGAGACATGGGATATCACTTCTCTTCCTCCGGGAAAGAAGGCTATTGGTACGATGTGGATCTATACGAACAAGTTTCGTTCTGATGGTACTCTTGAAAGGCATAAAGTTCGACTGGTTGCCTTGGGCAACAATCAAGAAGCAGGGGAAGACTTCACTGAAACGTTTGCACCGGTGGCGAAACATACGACCGTACGTTTTTTTTACGCATAGCTGCAGCGAAGAATTGGTTGGTTGAACAAATGGATGTCCATAATGCGTTTCTCCATGGTGACCTTGACGAAGAAGTCTACATGAAGCTCCCACAAGGTTTTGCTTGTTCCGACAAATCAAAGGTGTGTCTTCTTAAGAAATCACTTTATGGTCTTCGCCAAGCTCCGCGCTGCTGGTAATCGAAGCTTGCCAATGCACTACGCCAATATGGTTTCTCACAGAAGTACGCCGACTACTCTCTGTTCTCATACTCTAAAGGGGCTGTGTGCTTGCACATCCTCATTTATGTTGATGATTTCATCATTACCTGCAATGATCAGTCTACAATGCATAGTTTCAAGGTCTACCTCAATCAGTGTTTTCACATGAAGGATCTTGGCCGATTGAAGTATTTTCTTGGCATCGAAGTTGCTCGTAACACCTCCGGCTTCTTTGTATGTCAAAGAAAATATGCGTTAGATATCATTGCTGAGACAGGTCTTCTTGCTGTGAAGCCGGCGTCCACACCAATTGAGCTTAATCAAAAGCTGGCTACTGCAACCGGACCGCTCGCTAATGTCAAGCAATATCGTCGTCTGGTCGGCCGTCTCATCTATCTTGTCAACACACGTCCGGAGCTGAGTTATACAGTTCATATCCTCACTCAGTTCATGCAGAATCCGTTGCAACCACATCTTGATGCAGCATTACGTGTTGTTTGCTATCTTAAAGGCTGTCCGGGACAGGGAGTTTTCTTAAACTCCACCGATGATATCGCCATCACTGCCTTATGTGACTTTGACTGGGCAGCCTGTCCCCTCACACGTCTTTCCCTTAGTGCTTACTTTGTCTTCCTTGGACGTTCCCCGGTGTCTTGGAAGACAAAGAAACAACAAACAGTGTCTCACTCCTCTGCTGAAGCCGAATATCGCTCCATGGCTTTTACATTGAAGGAACTCAAGTGGCTCAAGGAATTGTTCCTTTAATTTGGAGTCCCTCATCCTTTGCCAATGCGTTTATTCTGTGACAGCAAGTCGGCCATCCACATTGCAGCAAACCCAGTCTTTCATGAGCGTACAAAGCATATTGAAAATGACTGCCATGCGGTACGAGAAGCAGTGGAAGACAAACTCATTGCAACGGTGCATGTGTCTACAAAATCTCAGCTGGTGAATATACTTACCAAGGCGTTGCCAGCTCCTCAATTTGAAGAACTCTTGTCCAAGTTGGGGATTCGCAATCCCTCATCTCCAACTTGAGGGGGGGTATTGGGATAAAGACTACAACTTTATTTAGTTATTCTTATTACTTAGATTTACTTGGCTTTCCCTATTTCTACTCTTCTTAGACTTTATCTTTATCTAGCTTAGCTTCTACATTCTTCTACAATCTTTGTATAAATACCTTCTCTTATCATTCAATAAGATCAACACTTTTTTACTATTTCATCTTTCCACAAAATCCAAGTACGGACCTTTCTTCCATCTCCGCATCTTCAACCTCCCCATCGTTCTCGTCTCCTCTGCCTCTGTGGTCTACCACGACATGAACGTCCCCTCTCATGGTGCTATTGGGCTCGATCAGTGCCTCGTGTTAGGATCTTCTGGCTTCATCAGAGCTTCGTATGGAGATTACTGGAAGTTCATGAAGAAACTCATCACCACTAATATGCTTGGATCCTATGCACTGGAACGGTCAAAAGGCGTTCGTGCAGTTGAGTTAATGCGATTTTACAGAAATATGCTTGATAAGGCGATGAACAAACAGAGCGTCGAGATCCATGAGGAAGCGCTGAGATTCCTTAATAATATCCTCGACAAGATGAGCATGGGAGGGTGTTTCATGAAGGAGAAGAATGAAGAAAAAGTCTCAAAATTTAGTGTCGAGTTGGCTGCCTTGACACAAAAGATTTTCTTGGCACAAGTGTTGCGATCGCCACTTGAGAAGATCGGGATCTCACCATTCAAGAAGGAGATAATGGATGTTTCAAACAGATTTGAGGAGCTCTTGGAAAATATTATAGCAAAATACGAAGAGAAAGTGGACGAGCATCAATGTGCTGAAATTATGGACAAATTATTGGCAGCTTCTCGAGGCGAAAATGCCGAGTATAAGATCACAAGGAAGCATATCAAGGCCTTATTAGCGGTGAGTGTATATCCTCTCAAAGTATCTTAAATGAAAACCCTTCCACATCCCTCTCTCGTCTCTTCTAATAATATTAGTAAAATATTTGCAATTGTAGGAACTTTTCTTTGGAGCCGGTGAGACCTCTACTTCAACAATGCGGTGGACAATGGCTGAGCTCATCAACAACCCTAAGATCCTTGAGAGATTGAGAGGAGAAATTGATTCTGTCGTAGGGAAAACAAGGTTGGTCGAAGAAACTGATCTACCAAAACTCCCTTACTTGCAAGCGGTCATCAAAGAATTTCTGAGATTGCACCCAGCAGTGCCTCTCTTACCGAGAGATGTTGTACAAGGGTGTAAGGTCGGAGGGTTCTACGTACCTGAGAGCACATCACTTGTTATTAATGTTTATGCTATGATGAGAGATCATGATTCTTGGAAAGATCCTGATGACTTTAAGCTAGAGAGGTTTCTAGAGAAAGAGGAAGAGAAAAGAGAGAAACTAATGAAGTTTCTTCCTTTCGGTTCCGGAAGGAGAGGGTGCCCTGGATCAAACTTGAGTCATATCTTAGTAGGAATCGCAATTGGAGTGATGGTGCAATGCTTTGACTGGAAAATCGAAGGAGAAAAGGTTAACATGGAAGAGGCTTCTGGAAGAGTTTTCTTGGCTATGGCTCATCCTCTTGAATGCACTCCTCGTCCTCGAATCTTAATTCCTTGATAAAATTTGGGTTATATCATGGTAGGACTCACAATTGGTGTGACGGTGCAGTTGTTTGATTGGTAGTTCTTTCACTCTTGATATAAGGGCTCGTAAAAGATACTAGTTTTTTTTGTTTTTCCGTTAAACAATATGTATTATGCGGGTTTAAATTCGAATGGTGATACAACAACGATGTTAACTCAAACCAGTAGACTATATGTTATGGTTTGCATTTGACACTTATCAAAATCACATAAATATTTTCAAGGGTGAATTGCTTTTTATAATAGGATTTTGAACCCTTTAATGCAAATTCTTGTAACTGTGAGCCCCGCACGCCGGCAAATCACCAGCTGTTGAAGCGTGACTTGTCCATACGTGCAAGAACTCTTCCAAAAGAAGTCAAGTAGTCAAGTAGTCAAGTAGTCAAGTTCTCACATGTGAAAGAGAAATGAGAATTACGAATCTGGAGAATCTTTCACCTTGGAATTATTTAATAGAATAGGTCTTTTTATTATCACTATTATATACTTTGAGATCTACAAAATATCTCACCTTCCCATACATGGACATAAGAAGTCCTCTCTCATGTCCATCTTCTTCGCTTTTGAGAAACAACAATAGCAGAAATGACCAGTTGAACCAGTTTTTCAAACAAAAAAACATTTATTTAATAGAATGGTTAATTAATGTGATCGCTTTTATATACCTTGAGATCTACGATATCTCACGTTCCTATATTAATGGACATAAGAAGTCCTCTTATCACTCTCTTTCAGGCTTTTGAGAAACAACAATAGCAGAAATGACCAACATTGACTATCAAAACAGCTTCATCTTAATCCTCCTATGCCTCTTCCCAACCTTCTTATTTCTCTTTGTCTACTTCTTCAAGAAACCAAAGAATGTCTCTAATCTACCTCCGAGCCCTCCTTCTCTTCCCTTCATCGGCCATCTCCACCATCTCTTCTCTGCTCCAATCCACAAATCTTTCCAAAAAACCTCATCCAAGTACGGACCTATCCTCCATCTCCGCATCTTCAACCTCCCCGTCATTCTGGTCTCCTCTGCCTCAGTGGTCTACGAGATCTTCAAGGACCACGACATGAACGCCTCTCATGGTCCCGTTGCCATCGATGAGTGCCTCGTGTTTGGATCTTCTGGCTTCGTCAAAGCTCCCTATGGAGCTTACTTTAAGTTCATGAAGAAGCTCATCACTACTAATATGCTCGGACCTCAGGCGCTGGAGCGTTCACGAGGCGTTCGTGCGGCTGAGGTAGAGAGGTTTTATATATATCTTCTTGATAAGGCGATGAAGAAAAAGAGCATAGAGATCGGCGAGGAAGCGATGAGACTCGTTAACAGTATACTCGGAAATATGAGCATGGGAAGGGGCTTTTCGGAGGAGAACAATAATGAAGCGAAAGTCTCAAAATTTGCTCTGGAGTTTATTGGCTTCACCAATAAGATGTTGTTTGCACAAATTTGGCGTAAGCCGCTTGAGAAGCTCGGGATCTCACCATTCAAAAAGGAGATAATGGATGCTTCATACAGATTTGAGGAGCTCTTGGAGAGGATCATTGTGAAATGCGAAGAGAAAGTGGACCAGCATCAAGGTACTGAAATTATGAAGACCTTGTTAGCATCTTATCGAGGCGAAAATACAGAGTATAAGGTCACAAGGAACCATATCAAGGCGTTATTAGCGGTGAGTGTTGGATAATATACTTAGGCGTTCAAGTTTTTTTGGTTTAGTTCCGTTTGGATTTTCAGTGTTGGATACTAAATATTAGAGTATTTTGCACACCTTAATCCGAACGAACACCATTATTTAATATTAGTAAAATCTTTGCAACTGTAGGAGCTTTTCTTTGGAGCCGGTCACAGCTCTTCAACAACAATGAAGTGGACAATGGCTGAACTCATGAACAACCCTAAAATCTTTGAGAGATTGAGAGAAGAAATCATTTCCGTGGTGGGGAAGACAAGGTTGATCCAAGAAACTGATCTACCAAAACTCCCTTATTTGAAAGCGATCATCAAGGAATCTCTGAGATTGCACCCGCCAGGGTATCTTTTGCCGAGGGAGCTTGAACAAGGGTGTAAGATCAGAGGGTTCTACATACCTAAGAACACATTACTTGTTATTAATGCTTATGCTGTGATGCGAGATCCGAATTCTTGGAAAGATCCTGATGAGTTTAAACCAGAGAGGTTTCTAGGGCAAGAAGAAGAGAAAAAAGTGAAAGAATTGAAATTCCTTGGTTTCAGCGCTGGAAGAAGAGCATGTCCTGGATCAAATTTGGGTAATATCATAGTGGAAATCGCAATTGGAGTGATGGTGCAGTGTTTTGATTGGGAAATTGAAGGAGAAAATGTCAATATGGAAGAGACTTCTGGAAGAATGTTTTTGGCTATGGCACATCCCCTTAAATGCACTCCTCTTCCTCGTATCCTAAATCTTTTACCCACCCTCTAATTTGTAGGTTCGCAGCTCGTTAATTCGTGTGTTTCACCATACTTCTAAGCATTGAAGGGTTTGGAATTAGTTAAAACCAAAAAACGTTTGGAAGATTGTTATCGTACTTGTTATATCTTTTTGTCGCATTATCCGAGTTTTAAGTTAACTTTTTACCCGAAATGTGATACACTATACAACAACGTTGTTGACACAAATTAGTAGACTACATGTATGTCATGATTTGCATTTGTTACTTATATTATATGCCTTATGTTTGTATTTTTATGTTAGCGAATGCAATTTTTCCTATATAATTTTTTTTGTTTACGTTTATTTGTGATATGTTACTTGGCACGATCACGTAAACATTTGCATGGGGTACTATATACTATAACATGATTTTGATATTTTACTTTTTTGTAACGAAACGAATATAGATAGTTTTGAAGTTTTTTTTTCTTATGACACATTAACCGCTTTGTAATACTGGCTTATTCTGGTTTTGTATGATTAGTAAGTGCGGAATTCGCTGTTGCACAACACTAAACTACACCTCTTTCGTTATACATTTACAAAATCACATAATTGGCAGAGAACTCTTCCCTATGAGGAAGTCAACTTCTGGCATGTGAAAAAGAATTGCGAATCCCCATGATCTTAATTAGCTTGCCACCTTGGATTTATTTAATGCTATATATAATGATCTCGATCGAATCCTGAATCTCCATAATCTTAGCTTGTCATGTCACCTTAAAATCTACATAACTAATAAGGCTTGGACAATCTCCAGTCTTTGACACGTGGCACTCTCTTTTTTTTTTTTTTTTTTTTTAATGATTATCTCTATAATCTAGGTTCTCTCTACTCCGCCCTTACAAAACATTGACCACATTACACATAGAATAACTCTATAATTTTTAGCCAAGAAGTACTAATAACTCTATAAGATTTCTTGTCTTTTTAGCCAAGAAAGGACCCTTGTTTCGAACAAACAAAAAAAAACATTTATTTAATAGAATGGTTAATTAATTTGATCAATGTTATATACCTTGAGATCTACAATATCTCACGTTCGTATATTAATGGACATAGGAAGTCCTCTGTCTCATCACATTACTCTCTTCCTGGCTTTTGAGCAACACCAGTAGCAGAAATGACCAACATTGATTATCAAAACAGCTTCATCTTAATCATCATATGCCTCTTCTCAACCTTCTTCGTTCTCTTTGTCTACTTCTTCAAGAAACCAAAGAATGTCTCTAATCTACCTCCGAGCCCTCCTTCTCTTCCCTTTATCGGCCATCTTCACCTTCTCTTCTCTGATTCAATCCACAAGTCTTTTCAAAAAATCTCATCCAAGTACGGACCTTTCCTCCATCTCCGCATCTTCAACATCCCCATCGTTCTCGTCTCCTGCGCCTCATTGGCCTACGAGATCTTCAAGGACCACGACGTGAACATCTCATCTCGTGGTGCTGCTGCAATGGATGAGTGCATCATGTTTGGTTCTTACAGCTTTCTCAAAGCTCCCTATGGAGATTACTGGAAGTTCATCAAGAAGCTCATGGCTACCAATATGCTCGGACCACAGGCGCTGGAGCGGTCACGAGGTGTTCGCACAGTTGAGCTAGAGCGGTTTCACAGAAATCTTTTTGATAAGGCGATGAAGAAACAGAGCGTGGACGTCGGTGAGGAAGCATTGATACTTGTTAACAGTATCCTAGGCACAATGAGCATGGGAAAGTGTTTCTCAGAGAAGAACAATGTGGTCAAAATCTCGGAATTTGTCGTCGAGATCTCTACCTTGGGCCAAAAGATTTTCTTGGCACAAATGTTGGGTAAGCCGCTTGGGAAGCTCTTGATCTCACTACTCAAAAAGAAGACAGTGGATGTTTCATGCAAATTTGATGAGCTTCTGGAAAGGATTATGGTGAAATACGAGGAGAAAGTGGACGAGCATCAAGGTACTGAAACTATGGAGGCAATGTTGGCAGCTTATCGAGGCGAAAATGCAGAGTATAAAATCACAAGGAACCATATCAAGGCCTTATTAGCGGTGAGTGGAAAACACAAGTAAAATTTATTTTCATTTAGTCTGAAAACTATCGGCTTGGTTCGGTTTTGAATATTAAAAACAAAAATAAAATTATATATATTATAGATTTTTGTGTATTTAAATTTGTATATAAATATATAGTATATATATCTTAGTGAACTTGGGTTTATATGGGTTATGTTTGAGTAATTAAATATAGAGATTTTTTATATTGTTCGAGTTGTATATATATTTGGGTTGAGTTTATACTAAAAGAATTTGGGTTGGTTCGAGTATTTTTGCACACCCATAGTTCCAAACAAACACCTTTATATATATAAGTAAAGTCTTTGCAAACTGTAGGAGCTCTTCTTAGGAGCCGGTGACACTTCTTCATCAACAACGCAGTGGGCAATGGCTGAACTCATCAACAACCCTAAGAGCCTTAAGAGGCTGAGAGAAGAAATTGATTCCGTGGTAGGGGAAACAAGGTTGATCCAAGAAACTGATCTACCAAAACTCCCTTACTTGCAAGCGGTCATCAAAGAATCTCTAAGATTGCACCCGCCAGGGGTTCTCTTGCCAAGGGAACTTGAGCAAGGGTGTAAGATCGAAGGGTTAAACATACCTAAAGGCACAACACTTGTTATTAATGCTTATGCGATGATGAGAGATCCTGATTCTTGGAAAGATCCTGATGAGTTTAAGCCAGAGAGGTTTCTAGGAAAAGAGGAAGAGAAAAGAGAGAATGTCTTGAAGTTCCTCTCTTTCGGAGCCGGAAGGAGAGGATGTCCTGGATCAAACTTGGGTTATATCATGGTAGAACTCGCAATTGGAGTGATGGTGCAGTTCTTTGATTGGGACATCGAAGGAGAGAAGGTCAACATGGAAGAGGATTCTAGACGAATTTTTTTGGCGATGGCACATCCTCTTAAATTCACTCCTCTTCCTCGTATCCGTAATCCTTTACCTCTCTAAATTCTTGAATTTTTGTTTTCACCATATTTCTAGACATAGGGTTTTGAAGATTGTTATCGCACTTGTTATATTTTTATTTGTCAACAACATGCATTATGTGAGTTTGAACCCAAATGGTGATACACCAATTGCATTTGTTACTAATATGCCGTATTGGTTTTGTTCTTCCCACCAATGTATTGACAAAGTCCCGTTTGTGACTAAAACAGAGAATACTCGATTCTTTTTTATTTATTTTGGTAAAGATATGTTACTTATCAAAATCACAAATACTTTCGAGGGAAACTTGCTATTGAGATTTTTATTGCAAAATACTATTGAGAAACTAAATAACGAATATTGTTTTGAAGAGATACACGAGGAACATAGGACTAATAATTATATGAAATTTAGTTAGTAAAGTTACGAATAACTCCACTAGGCTCAAGCGCCTTAGCTTCCGGCGCCGGCGCCACGTCCTTAGACGGCGTAACCGGAGTTCCTGTGAGCTCCGCCGGAAAATCACCAGAAAGACCCTTAAGGTAAAATGTGTAGAACAGTTTCGTCGGATACACAAGCTGTTGAAGCTTGACCTGTCCGTACGCACCTTCGAAGATTCCTGTGCCTCCGGTGATGGCGAGGAACGAGTCCTCGTAAGTCAAGTACGGTCCTTGTACGGACAAATGGCCGTAGTTGCCGAAGTAGAAGCTGTAAGTGGCTTCGAACCTGTCACCGTTCTTCTCCGGGACGTGTTCGATCACGACGCAGAGACCGGCGGTTATTCCCACGCGCTTTTTGAGGTCTCCGGTGTAGACTTTGTTTGTAAATGGGACTAGATCGCCGAGACCGAACTTAAGGCTGGAGGCGTTTTTTAGAATCTTTGGGCTGTGTCGGTCTAATTCGTTGAGCTCGTACACGGACAGTTCTTGAATTTTACCTGAATATTCAAAAGAAGACACAAAACAAAATTAAAGAAAAAAAAATCTTGAGATCATATTTTAGTGATAAAGTTTGCATATTTGTGATTTTGAGCTAGAAGACCATGTTCAAGAAATCATTTTTAATAAATTTAAGATTTTGGTAATTATCTTTGAGTTTTTGAAGATTTTTTAAAGATTAATCAGTTTTGAAAAATATAGGAAATGGCCCAATTTTGCTTTATGACATAACTCTATATATAAAGACAGGAAATTATCTTAATTAACTTACTTGGTCTGGAAGTGTCGGTATGTCCTGAATTCTGGGAGAGAGCAGCACGAACAGGAGTGAGGTTCTTGGGAGTGGAACTTAATCGAGAGGAGAAATCTGGACCGTTGGATGAGATCCCAAGATTCTGGAAGGATTTAGAGAAACCGAGGAGAGAGCTTCGATGCAACTTGTGGTTACAGGAGAGATTGTTGAGAGGTGTCATAGAGAGAGACTGTAGAGACATACCAGAAGAAGCCATTTGATCAACAAAAAAATAGAAATGACTTTCTAAAACTTGTTGATTTGATTGAAAGGTTGTTGTGAAGAATGAGTGAGTTGAGTTGTACGAATGTCTATGTGTATTTATATATTGGATGGTTAATGATGAGTGGTGAAGAAGTTGAACGTGCGTCAATTGCCAAAATGGGACTCTTAACTAAAAAGATGTTTTTGTGGAATTTGGATTTGGTTTCTATGGATTGGTCGGTATGTGTTTTGAGTTTTGAATACTGTTGAAAATGTTCCCAAGTTTTGGATCCAATTCATACATATGGCCGGTTTATAAACTACAAAAACAGAAAATTGAAAAAACGTGCGATTTGTGAAGCTTTGAATCATTTTATATCTTAGATAAATATCTGCCCCCACATTATTAAAATTTCTCTATTAAGAACAATTAAAATATTTCTTACTCCCTGTTTAAAACATGCACGTTTTTTTATAACGTTCATAATAAAACAATGGTTTATAATTTTGATTTAAGCAATACGATATTTTTTTCCTTAAACAAGAAATTTGCAACTATTTTCATGTTTACATAGTGGCATGTATCCCTGCATAGAATAAAAACTGTATCCCTTACAGATACCAAAAACAAAATATTTTTTCAAATCATTTCAACACATTCTCTGTGATTTTTTTTTTTGGTCTTACATTCTCATTCATTTTTAGTTGGTCGTCGAGTCAACATTCTCCTTCATAAGGAAGGCTTGATCACACACCTACGATAAAAAAAACAAAAAAAATATAAATGCTGTTTTAGATACATTCACTCATATTATTATGACATCTCAAAATGTCTGAACATTCACATTATATTCTTGTAGTCTTAAATATCCTTCAGTTACTAATCAACATTAGTTTCGAAATTGCATAGAAACTAACAAATTTATCAATTTTCATCAAACAAACATTGTAATCAATGAACATTTACATTATAGAGACTCAGTTTGATACTGAAACTGAAAACACAGGTCTTGTCTGGTCCTTTCTGTGTGTGTTGGCTCCAGCGAATCAGCCTCTCCTAGACATCGATCAAATCACACTGACGACACTTCCATATCAACATAGATGCATAAAGTCAATCTAAAATTGAATGGTTAAGTTTAACTTACCTATCTTGTGCACAGACATGAACGGTCAATGATGTAAATTTCTTGAGCATTGTGTACAGTTAGTTCATGATGTGGTGAGAATTTCAGCACCAGTTGTGGTAATAAGAATTGTATGCTCAAACTGTGCGGCCGGACTACCATCCGCTGTCAAAATAGTCCATTTGTCAGGCCATGTTACAAACTCGGTGGCTCCAATGGTGAGTATTGGCTCTGCAAACAAAAGAAACAATCAATTTACAAAAGAAAAAAGTTCATTCATCATTCATCAAGTTTTTTATAACAATGCTCACTCACTCACCAAGCGTAAATGTTTGACCCTCAATCATATACTCAAGTTCATAATCATCTGCACAAAACAAAACAAGATATTTCTTTTTTTTTCAGACAAATTCTTCCATTTGGTGCAGAAAAGCCTTTTTGTGTTACTTACGGTTACGATGAAGATATATAAGAGGCTCCGAGTGTAATACAGTCCCTACACCATGTCCGATAAAGCTCTCCACGTTATAGCCATACTTCTCTGCATGCTCTCTGTTTGGAAAATTTGGAAAATCACTGAGACTGCTTCTTCTTCAAACTTCCGGTTTAGTACTATCACTACCTGATTATCTTCCCGATTTGTGAGAAGCTTGCTCCATCTTTACAAACCGATATACCTTTCTCCAAGCACTCTTCTGTGACCTTGACAAGCTGTATAACGCTTTCATTTACATCTCCACAGAGGAAAGTCTTTGACGTATCTCCATGATAACCCTTTTTGAAAACCAAGAAGATAGTTAGGTACAAAACTAAGCTCACTTCAAGAGCAGCACAAGTAAAAAAAAAACAAGACTTACATCCAAGTAAACTGCGACATCGATGTTTATTATATCACCATTCTGAAAAACAATGGTGGTTTGATTAGTGATTAGTGATGCTTAAAAGAGACTTCACCTTCAAAAAAAAGGTTGAAGAAAACTTCATAATCAAGAATCAAGACCTGTAGCTGACGTGAATCTGGAATCCCGTGAAACATGCATTCGTTAACCGATGTACAAACGCTTTTAGGGAACCCTCCGTATCCGAGAGGTGAAGGGTAAGCACCAGACTCAATAACCATCTTGTGCACGGCTTTGTCTATTTCATCTGTGGTAACAAATGGCTACAGAACACACCACCAATAAGCAAGAGGGATTCAATAAGAAAGAAAAAAGAAGCTAATCTTTTTTACTTACTCTAACCAAAGTTCCTGCATAGTCTAAAACACGAGCAGCGAGCTTGCAAGCTGCCTTCATTTTCACGATTCCCTTGGAGTCAGGAATCTGAAACTCACTTGATATCTTTGGTGACTCGCTAGACTCAACGTATGGAGGCTTTGGTATGTGATCAGGCACGAGAAGACGTGGCGATACTTCTCCACATGTTAGAGGTCGATTCCTTCTATCTTCTAATGTGTATTGAATCCTACAAACCGCATCAAAAAAAAAATCAAAACTTCAGCTTCACTTCTAACATTGGCTCTGAAATGTAACCATCTTTATGACCAAAATGTCTTGAAATGTTACATTCTTATGAATATACCTTCTTATTCTCGGAGGACATGTCTTCTTGTTGCCTGCAACAAAGCAAAAACTTAAATCTTATAATATACATCGAATTCAAACTATGATGATTCAGCGACGCCCAAATTCAAATTGGATGAAACTACATAGTTTTTCAACGAATTGAGCAATGCGAATCGTATTCTACTTATTCATTCATCGTCAATTCCCCAGAAACCTTAACGAAACAAGCAGAGCAAGTATAGAGCAAGAGTAACGGAAAAACCTGAGAGCGGGAGAGAGGAGAAGCTGGCCGGAGCTCCGGCGAAGTATCTCGTCGGTGCTAATCGATTGCCGTTAAATAAAGAACGGGGAAGAGAAACCTTTGACAACATTTCTCGCTGGTGGAATCAGAAATGGAACGAAGATTTTGATTTTTCAAGGTTCCATTAATATTCTAATTTGGAGGAGAAAACTTTAATGGGCCCATTAACCAATAAGGCCCATTTTAAGAATTTAATTATTTTATCCGAACATTGCATATTTTGTCCATTTGTCGCAACATAAATAATCTCAGCAAGAAAAAGTAGTTAACTAAGAAGAAAAAACAAAAAAAAAGTTTTTTTTTTCTTTCAAGTTATCACAAAAACGAAACAAAGAAAAGAGTTGTTAAATTGTTGTTACAAAGCATCGGAGATGCGTTGCTTCTTATTACACCTCAACGACAACATCTCACTTTCTTCCTTCACCGCGACGTCGTTTACGTTTACAGACGAAATGTCAACTCCGAACAATCTCACGACGACCCGGCCCGTATCCTGATCCGACCCGGATTTCGATTTCCACCCGATATACAACTGCTGATCCTGGCCGTTGGATCTTTTAAAACTGATCAAATCACCGGCACAGAGTCGCTTCTCTTTAACGAACCTGCTCCAACCTTTAGTCAACACGTAGCTTTGACTACTGTTCCAATACGAGTAACGGAACCTCCACACTTTCCCGTTACCGTCCTCGAAACTCAACAGCGTCCCTTTCACGGAGTCGTTACAAGATAACGGTAACGGGAAATGTTTCTCCGCTTGGTGTTTCGGTATCACTAGACGGTTCAGTTTCCCGACGTCACTCGGCGTTACCGCTTTCTCAAACAGAAACTCCGCCGTTTTAAACCCCGTCACCGCCGTTACAGACGCCGTCTCGTCTCTGTTTTCGTCGACGTTATAACGGTTCCGTTTCCTCTGCTCTAGCTCCTCCTTGTAAGTGTGTTTCCTCAACATGTCTACGATCTCGGATTTCGAATGCGCGTTTAAGAAATCGACCTCGTCTCCGTCGCTTTCCGCCGTGAAATTAGCGACGGCGTCGCGGCCGCGGAAACGGTGAGCAGCGACGTCGTAAGCACGCGCCGCCTCGTCTTCCTCGTTGAAAGTGCCGAGCCACACGCGCTGGTGTTTCTCGTAAATCTGAGCTCCCCATCTTCCGTTCGGCTGTGGCACGACGCCTTTGAATCTCGACGACGGGAGCTTTCTCGATTCGGCCTCGACGCCGTTCTCTGAGTCCAAAACGACGCTTGCTCCGGAGACGACGGCTTTCTCGCCGGAGACGACGGCTTTCTCGCCGTCGCCGGTGGAATCTTCTCCGTTGCGACTGGAGTGTGAAATGAGTCTGTGCTTGTCGTGCTCTCGTCTACGCTGCTCACAGCTTCCATTTTCTTGTTAATTTGAATCGGAGGAAGAAGAATTTAAGAAATCACAAGAAAATTGTGAAATTTTGAGAATCGAGAGAGATGGAACAATGGTGTATGTTTGTATGTGTGAACGTGTGTGAATACACATATGCGTGTATATATAGACTATAGAGAGACAAGAGGGAAATAAGAAAACATCAAGTGCATGTATGTATGTATGTATGTATTATTGTATTGATATTATTAATTAAATTTTATTTTCTTTCCATTATTATTTGGAGTGTGTTTTAACTTTTAAGGAGATATATGTGTAATATATGGGCAGGTACATGGGAATAATATGGGTTTGTGTGTGTATGTTGTGGGTCAACTTAAATTCACATGAAGGTTCATGCAAAAGATAGAAGATTACTATTACCAAATAAAAGTTTCCATAACAGGGTCTCAGTATCAGTTGACCAATTAATTGATACAGAACAAAATTTACACTAGCAAGTCTAGCATGAACCTTACATAAATGGTTTACCACGTATTCAGGTTTGAGGTGTGATTCAGTGATTCTACAATTTTTTTCCTGCTTTACTATTTATAATATTTATTATCAAATTTTTACATTTTTGGAAAAACAAAAATTCTCCTAAATAATGATATTTCTAGAAAGGCTAAAAAGCTTGTTAATCTACAAAAATATATATCGTTTTAATTTTAAAATTCTTCAACATAATTTTTTTCAGTTTAAATATTTTGGCTATATAATTATTCAGTTATTTTATATTCTGTTAGAGATATATTCTTTCTGTCAAATTCACAATTTAAATCCAAAAGTTTGTTATATGATTTAAAACATATTAATTTGTGATTACTAAAAGGGAGTGTATTTACTGTTAAATTAGTATTGATGACGGAAAAAAGTGATATGAATATGTTGTGGGCTGCTGCATGGGAAAGTAGGGCCGGTAAGTGGGCCAGGATGGATAAAAGAGGTTCACATGAGGAATTGAATATTGTTGCAATGGTGTTAATTTACAAGCGTGGTGTTCAAAATAAATTAATCACTATGATCATAAGCAATAGATTAACAAGAACAAAAAGTATGAGATTGGAGAATTCGTTGTTACGACTTACGATACTATTCTTTTCTCAATGAAAATTAATATGTTATTGCAAATCTCAGTGAAATTTTCTTGCGTGAGGAATCCTTTTGCAAGCATGAATCTTTCATGTATATAAAGTTATATACAAATGCAATGGTCAATGCTCTTAAACATATATACCTTTTCTTTTTCCATTATTCGTATATTTCTCAACGATCGATCTTGATTCTTTTTTATGAATGGGAAGCATGTGTGTATTTGGTAGCGTAGATAATAACTTAGGGAGAATATTGAATGCGATACTAAAGTGAACGAAAAGAGGTTCGTACTTGTGTGTGAGTTGTGACTAAAACCAGACCATTTAGCTCACAACTTTTCATAGATTGAACGCTTTGTTGAGTCCCACCTTGTGGCAGAAGGCTTCGCTAGTCAAGCTGCTCTGGTGCAAACAGCCTCAGTTAACATAAGGAGCTAAGGAAGTTCTCTGTAGAATCCGACTCCTTTTTTTTTACATATGATCAATGCCATTAACTCTGGCTCCAAAATCTTAAAGCTCCATGGTATATTAATTAGCGGATATCGTTTCGTTTACCAGTAGTTTCGAGAGTTCTTTTAAGTTAATTCACTCAGCAGCAAATTATGTCGCTGACGCTCTAGCTAAATCAGCTTTTGAGGAAACTTCTTGATAATATATAAAAGCTATATGTTGCCCCCCAAAGAAAAAAAGAAACAAATTCTACACTTGTGAGTTTTTCTTTTTCCTCGACAACTATGCATTAATCTCATTTCATCCACTTAGAATAATTTATATTATCATATATGAATGATATAATTGGAGAGTAAGAACAAACAACACAAACATCAAGGATCAGTTAAAAAAAAAAAAGATATTCCCTAATGATTACCCAAAAGTCTGGTAATATCATGATTCATGTGTTGATTGTGTTCATCGATCTAATGTCGGCTATCCTAATAAATCGGTTTAGTTCCACATTTTCGTTAATTTTTTTAGTTAGCGATGTACGTAAAAACATATTTTCTATGAATCAAAACGTGAATATCCGACCTAGTTAAGAGTAAGTAAATTCCAAAAATGTAAATTTTAATATGTTATTTATGTCATCGATGCCTCGATGGAATGCGATGAAAAAGGCAAAAGCGATTGTTTATCCACATTATTCTTGTTTTTATTAGTTTAGTAGCCCTCGAGATTATCTGTAACTTCTTTAGTTTGTTTTTTCATGTGATGTGATAGAACGTGTTCCGTTTTAAGCCTAACAATCAATATAATATAATGACACTTAGATGACTTAATATGTCTGCGCGAAGTCATAGCCCACATCTACTGTCGGCAGCCGCGTAATATGCTAAATTAACTAACCTTACGTTTGATTTTTGCAATTTTTAAAAAGTATTACTTTATAGTTTATATAACTTTATATGATAGATAAATGTATTAGGAGTACTATATATATACTCCCAAATTACACATTTGTAGTTTTGGGGATGGATCTATTCTCAACTCGTTTCATTTTTCTCAATTTAAGTACTAATACTTCATCGAAGATCGATCTAATTAGCATATCTGCGGGCGTTGATATGCTGAGAAATTCATTGTCCTCTGTCTTTCGTGTCCTTGAAGTATTAGATCGGGATAAGTTTTTGGATAAGAACTTGTTTAAAAGATATAAGTATATCAACTCTCTCTTTTCTTCTAGACTTTAGATAACGATGATTACTAAGCGAATAAGCTACACGTCATAGGGAAAGACTGAACTTAATTCACATATGTACGTGTTCAATATCTTGAACTTATTTGCTTGTATATCGCTATGTCCCTATCAATTCAATTAACCTTATAAAAAAACATGAATCAAAATTGAAGTCTTGCAACATAATCTGGTGTGTTTCACTATAAGTTTAAGAAATTAGGACGTTCCTTTCTGATTATGGATCTTTCGTGGTTAGACAGACATGACCATTATTCAAATTATCCTGTCTAATTCAGCGACCAATTCATTATAGATCCGGTTGACAATATTGATCAATATTCTTCTGCTTATTTTTAACGTCCCAATGCGAAAAGAGAAACATGTTACTCTTTACTGGATGTCTCAACTACCTACCTATTCGATTATTTTCCATACGTTTAATCACGTTTTTATCTAATAGATACAGTGTAGTACAGTGTAATGTAACCAATCAAAGCCGTTACTCTTTACTTCTTTAGTCTTTACTGATTTCTCAACTACTTCTACGATTATATATTTTCCATGTGTTTGATTATGATTTTATCTAATAGAAAAGGTTTAAAATGTAGTACAGTGTGATGTTGTGATACCAATGACACACACAACATATAACGTAGCGTTAGGTGTAAATATATATAATAAGGTTTCTTGTTAATTACAAAATTCAGCAGACAAAGAAATAATTTTAAATTTGATCTTTTATGGTTATGGCCTTACGGGAGAGATCTTATCTTTTGTTCACGAGCCAATTAATTTTGTGTAAATTTTTGTTTTTTAAAAAGGAAAGGCATAGTATTATTGGAGAAATGGAAACTTTTTGCCACGTCAATGTCACGCATTTTCCTCCCATATGTGTTTTTGATTAGCCAACTTGTCTCTTTGGGCTGTTCAGTATTCACACGTAAGAATTTACTAAAAATATATATTTGTTTCGCACGTCTGCTTACTTAATATTTTTGGATCTAAAGAATAACTTAATCAACTACTTAAATTCAAGAGCTTTAGATGGTTACTTCCTATTTTCACTCCAAGTTGCTTTTGTTGACTAAAGTTTTATAATCAACCGAGAAACGTAACTGGACGAAACCGTGGGACCAACTACTCCATACATACATCTTGCCATTGGTTGAGAAGCTGATAGGCAAATTATTGTCAGATTAAAACTGATGGAGTTTAGTATTTTGAATCATACAAATACGTGTGAAAGTTTAAAATTGTTACTTTTTTAAGAAATAAAGTGATTACCATATAGGAGTAATGAATACATACAACCATAAATGAAGAAAATACAGCAAAAATTATACATCTGTATAAAAAATTACTGTCAATATCATCAAAATTTTGTTATCACTATAAATTATCAACTGCATAAATAAATTTAATAGAAAAAAATGAATAAAAATATGAAAATTTTGATTCAGAGTTTTACTATTTTAAAATTCAATTTTTAAAAATAACAACCGTAAATATTAGTATTTTACGAAAAGAAATAACCAAGCAACTTGCATATGCATATAATTATTTTTTTTCAGATATTTATTTAGGGAATTTTTTCTGTTGTAAGTTGTAACCAAGCTCAGCAAAAACCCGTGCCCTCACTATACAAAACATGTCATAATCATTATTAACTGTAGCTATTCATTGCTAAAATAATGACGAACGCAGTGGCGTCACCACAATAGAAAAGGAAACTTCAAGGTCAACTAAGTCAACGAGCTCTACATATAGTAGGTTTATATATTTACCAGATTTAAACTATGTACGTTAACGTTATAATCCGTACAAATGGACCGACATGTTTTAACTTCTGAAGACATCACAATGACGAAGTGTTACGGCAGTTACGCAATTTACTTCTCTAAGCTCAAAACGTAACGTTCGCAATACTACAAATCGCGGCTACTACTAACACTGATATTAAATGACAATTAAGAAATTTCAGGCTATAAGAATTTCGCAGATCATTAAATTTGTGAGGATTCTCACTCAATATTACAGGGAATTTTGAAACTGAAATTTTCAGAATCATGATTCCATCATTCATAAATAGATAACTAACAACTATAACTCTTAGCTAAAACAAATAAAAAAATTTAAAAAATATAATTTTTAGCATCGAAAAATTGCCTCAAGAGGGATATACATATTATCATTACCAACTAAAAGAATTGGTAATGTAATCTATTTGTTACGCATTGGTAATGGAGACAAGCTTATAGTAGGTCTACAGAATGGTGCACGTGGAACCGTAGATCATGGAGACTTTGAAGACGAAAGAATCGGCCGTTGTATAATTGTTTTGTAACAGTTTTCATAATTTGTATTAGATTAATTAATCAGTGTTAAAAAAAAAATTCTATTTGTTACACAACCTCTATGCGTTTAAGTAACGTAGCAATTTCTACAGTCGTAAGCGAAATAAGCCGGCCCAACAATTATTGAAACCCTAGGGCAGAAAAACATTTTGGCCCCCTTTTTCAAATTTCCCTAAAAATATAAAAATTGCGGACCCTTATTCTACATCACAATTAAATCATCGGGCCCGTTTTAAAAATATTATGTACTACAAAATTTCAAAATTATGAACCTT